GCCCTGCTGCTGGCTACACTGTCCCTGCTGCTCCCGCTGCCTCCTCCGCCCCTGCCTTCCCAGCCTTCCCTACTGCTGCTTCTTCTGCTGGTGCAACTGCTGCCACCGTTGCGGCTGCTGATGCAGGTGCTGCAACTGCTGATACTGTTGCGGCTGCTGCTAAAGCTGCTGGTGATGCAGCTGGTGCCGCTTCTGGCTCCCCTGCTGCTGCTGGGAGGGCAGCATCTGCAGAAGCAGCGTCCATGGTTGAGCTTGCGAGGGCCATGACTGCCGTGTTTGAGGGCGCTGGGAACGCGGACTTTCAGGGAAGCTTCCTCGACAACCATGACTCGCCCCGCTTGCTGGGCTTGCTGCAAGGAGGTGAGAGATTGCACAGAACTCGCCTTGAGAATTGCTCCTTCAGAAATCGCCCAAGGAACCTTGCACAGCAATTGCTTCAATAGCTGCTCACAGATTGGAGGCAACTCGAAGATCAAAGCTTGCTTGGTTTTGCTGCAAGGAGGTGAGAGTGGCGTGTGTCAGCAGGCGAAATGAACGGATCCCTCGTGAGGCGAGGCGAGCCCATGCGCGTGGGTTAACCCCTCCATGCACTAAGTGCTGCCTCCCCAGTGACCCAGTCCCATGAGCAAAGCAAACAAGCTCTGCCTCCCCAGCCCTCTCCTCCATTGCTCGTCCACCTCTTCCCATCCCCTCCCCATCCTCCTCATATCCCCCGGGATTCTCTCACCCATGCAAGTCAGCCGTTGCTGCGCAATGCGCTGGTGCTGCTGCTCTGCTGCTCACCTCCAGAGACATCCTCAGACACGTCTCAAAAGTACACCCACGATGCAACTCCCTTTCTTCTTTTACCCAATCCCCTCTCCCTCTTCCCTCTCACCCATGCAAGTCAGCCGTTGCTGTGCAATGCATTGGTGCTGCTGCTCTGCTCTCACCTCTAGAGGCATCCTCAGACACGTCTCAAAAGTCAACCCCAGAAACAATTCCCTTCCTTCTCTTCCCCGCTCCCCTCTCCCCCCCCCCCCCCCCTTCTTCCTCTCACCGCTCAGACCAGCAGTTGCTGCGGAATGCGCTTGCGCTGCTGCTCACCTCCAGAGGCATCCCGCTCGTCTACTCGGGCACCGAGCAGGTAGGCACTGGGTGAGTGGGTGGGTGGGTGGGTGGGTGGGTGGGTGGGTGGGTGGGTGGGTGGGTGGGTGGGTGGGTGGATGGGTGGTCAAATGGGTGGTTGGGTCGGTGGTTGATGTTGCTCGCTTTGCTACTTCCCCCGCTTCCTCTCAACCGCTGTAGTTAGCTTGTCCGTGCTCTTCTCCCTTTGCTCCTTCCCCCCCCCCCCCTTTCAAGCCTGCATGGTTGGTTGATCCAGCCCCCAGAACCCACAGCCAGCCCCTTTTGAGTCGACTCAAAAGTCAGCACAGCCACAGCCAGCCCCTTTTGAGTCGACTCAAAAGTCAGCACAGCCACAGCCAGCCCCTTTTGAGTCGACTCAAAAGTCAGCACAGCCACAGCCAGCCCCTTTTGAGTCGACTCAAAACTCAGCACAGCCACAGCCAGCCCCTTTTGAGTCGACTCAAAAGTCAGCACAGCCACAGCCAGCCCCTCGGCCCTGCCACTTGCACCCCTCGTTATTATGTCCTGACCGCTGCTGCACTTTGCTCATGTTGCACTTCTCTCTTTCCTCCTTCTCCTCTCCCTCAGGCCTTCATGGGAGGGCCTGACCCGCAGAACCGCGAGTCCCTCTGGCCCTTCCTCAACACACACCACCCTCTCTACGGCTTCCTCGCTGCTGTGATCCGCTTCCGGCAAAAGGTAACTTAATTGCACATGGTGCTCCCCTCTGCATGCTCCATAAAACCTCCCTGTTGCCCCCACTTTTGCAGCTTTATTTGAACAGCAGTCTGTTTCTTCTAAGGTATGTAATCTGATATCCCTGTTCCTGTGCATGCCACGTCATCTAATATCCCTGCCGCGTCATCTGTTCTCCCTCTCCCTTTGTCGCATCTGCATCTATGCAGGTGGGCCTGTGGCAGTACAAGCAGCAGCACATTCGATTCGTCTCCACCCGCTTGTTGGTGTTCCAACGCGGGCCAGCGGTCGTTGCGGTTACCAACAGCCCTGCTGATGCTGAAGTGTTCAACACTATACATGTAACGGGTTTGAACTACAAGGAAGGCACCATTCTTTGCAATCAGTGAGTAACAAACTACTGTCTTTTGGGTACACTTTTTTACATGATTGTGGTCTTTGTTCTAGTCGTTCAATGTACCTCCTCTGTGTTTTGTTCTAGGTTGGCTGATAATGAGTGCATCCGTACAGTCAACAAGGGAGGGTATATGCATTTCTCTGATAGAAATCCCAAGTTGTTTTACCCCCTTTGAGGCTTGGGGTGCAGTACTGTTGAGTTAGTAATTGACTCTAATCGGCACAAATATTGCATCCAGTTCAATTTGGAACCTCAGGAAACCTACCTATAAAACTTTAGGTTTGCTTGTTCAAGGAGAACATGGAGAAATTCCATTCTTGCAAGCGATAAAGTCTTCTTGGACATTACTTCGGGTTTCTAATACTAATGAGATACACGCAATGGCCCAAACACTAATGTGATTCTTCGCAGCTTTTCTTAAGAGGGCTATCACCACGGTCTAGAACGGCAGCTCCTTCGCGGAAGTTGCTACTGCCATGCCAACCAAGCCTAGCAGAGGCGGATTTGGCAAGTCGCATACGAGGCTGGTTTCCGGCCAAATGTCGACGTCGAGTTCGGCGGCGGCCCCTGTCTTGCTTGTCCCTTTGTTCCTTGCCCCTTCATTGCTTGCTTGTGTTGGGCTCAGAAAAGCCCTTAGGCTCTTTTCAAGGCTAAAACCCTGAGTAGAATCAGCTTGCACTAGTTTGTGAGAACAAGAGATTGATTATATCAAAGTAATACAAGCTTTTTATGTGATTACAAGGAATATGAAAAGATGCAACCAACTGTTTTACTGCTGCTGTTGCGGTTCGATACAACGACGACTTGGGCAACTGCTCAATACTGAATCAGTTGTTTGTCCTTGCTGTTGCGCTGCTTTTCGTCAAGTCAAAGGTCGGCGACCTTTGACCTTCGCGTAAGCTATTACTTTCTGTCAACCTCCTCGGTTGACTCGCCATTGCTTCGCTGTAATCCGACTTGATTGTAATCCGCCATTGTTTCGACACAACTGGAGCGTTATTTAAATGTTCCCAACACTCCCCTTCGCTTCTGGAGTGTCGTCGCTGGTGACGTGGCCTTGTCCAATCAGCAACATGCAGTACTCAAACTTCTGCTTTCCGAGTTTCTTGGTCAAATAATCAGCTGCCATTTCGGATGTGGGGCAGTAGGACAGCTTGAGCCTCCCCTTGTCGGTCTCGTCCGTCACAAAGAAATATTGCAGGGCGATGTGTTTCGTTCGATTCGCAAACCCGCTCTTGTTCGCTATGCGGGTTGCTGATTGGTTGTCGCAAAACAGGGAGAAGCTGGGAAACTAAGCCAGCTTCGCTTCTTCCAGTAGTTCGCAGAGATACATTCCTTCTTTGGTGGCTGAGCAGAGTGCGATATATTCTGCTTCAGCTGAGGAGAGAGCAATTAGCTCTTGCTTGCTCGACTGCCATGAGATGGGGCCGATAGGTTCGAGTCGGTAGATGTAGCAAGTGAGTGATCGCCAATTGTCAGAGTCGTCGGCGTGGTTAGCATCGACGTAACCGATTAGCTTGGGCGTCGTAGTTACGGTTTTGTGATAGGTTAGGCCGATCGTCGGGGTGCTGACGAGATAGTGGAGTGCGCGGTCGAGCTCCGCCATGTTCTCAACTTCAGGCTTCTTGAGGTAGGTGGCGAGTTGGCTCGCTGAGTACGATAGATCCGGCTGGCAGGTAACGGCTGCGAAGGGTAGGCATCCTAGTTTTCGTTGGTAGTTTTGAATGCCGGCCGGTTTGAGCTGAGTGATCTTTTCTTTGCGACTTCCGTCGTTGTAGTGGTATGGTATGGTGATGGTGGTTGGATTTAGTCTGAAACGCTTGGCAATGGTGTCGGCGTATTTTGCGGCGCTGAGGTAGATTGTGTTTTCCCCGTCTTGTATGTTGAGTCCCAGGTATTGTGTCACGGTATACGAGACGGTGAGCGTGAGGTCCCGCTGCAGCTCCCCTTCGAACCAGGTTGTGATGCCGTCGGTTGAGCTGATGTAGAGCAAGTCGTCCACGGAGACGATGAGTAAGATATAGTCGGCGCCCTTCGTAAGTCGGTACATTCCTTGGTCGTGTGGTAATTGGCGGAATCCTATGCGAATGAGCCGAGTGTGTAGGTACTGCTGCCACAGCCTCAGAGCTTGCTTGATGCCGTATAAGGACTTCGGCAATTGTCGTATTCACTGAGAAAACTGAAACGAGAATGAATAAACTATGAAACAGTAGGTACAAGTACTAACCCTTATTGGGTTGTACTCCTTATGGGATACCCCACTACAGCCTACACAAAATGTGTAAGCTACAATGTTCTGACACACCCCCAAAGGCAAAGTGGGGGAGAACAAGGGGTCACAAGACCAGTCAAGCAAAGCAAAGAAAAACAAGCTCAGGGTGGATCACAAAGTCACCACACATTCCGAGCACAAGGTCAAGGCCACAAGGCCAGTTCACATGCAGGAGTACTGTTGAGATAGAGGCGAGGAATGGTACACTATGAAATGAAAGAAGTACAAGTACCAACCCTAATTGGGTTGTACCCCCTATGGGCTACCCCACTACAGCCTACATATATGCATCAGCAATATATAATCATCTGACACACCCCCATAGGCAAAGTGGGGAGAGCAAGGGGTCACAAGACCAGTCAAGCAAAGCAAAGCAAAGCAAGCTCAGGGTGGATCTCAAGGATACCACACAAATTCCGAGCACAAGGTCAAGGCCACAAGGCCAGTTCACATGCAGCAGAGCATATATATATAACAGTGCTAAACAAGCAAGAGCAAGGATATATATATGCAGCAGTACAAGCAAGGTCAAGAGGTAAGCAAGTGAGGCCCAGTGGGCACAAGGCCTAGCAGAGTGCAAAAGCGCTGATGGTCACGAGGCGGAATTGCCTTGGTGAACACATCAGCAGTGTTGGCCTCAGTGGCCACGAAACGCAGGCGAAGCTGACCACGCTGCTGCAGCTCTCGAGCAAGGAAGTAGCGCAGAGCAATGTGCTTCGTCCTGTGCTCCAGTCTGTGCTCCTGACACAAGGCAATGGTTGCCTTGTTGTCGACGTACAGCACTGGAGGAGAACGAGGCCGCTCTCCAAGGTCAGTCAGCAGGTAGGTGAGCCAGCGAAGCTCCTGGGCAGCCATGGCCGTGGCGTAGATCTCAGCCTCACAGCTGGAGCTGAGAACAGAAGAAGAGCGAGTAGAGCGCCAAGAGACAGAACCAGAGCCAAGACTGAAGGTGTAACCCTGAGACGACCGCTGAGTAGCCTGGTCGTCAGCCCAAGAAGCGTCTGAGTGCCCAGTGAGCACAGGCCGCTAACGCCCTCCAAGCACTAGCCCCATGCCCGACGTACTGCACAAGTAGCGCAACACCCTCTTAGCTGCATCCATGTACTCCTTCCGGTGACGGCCGGGAGCAACATAGCGTGCTAAGATGCTGAGAGGGTATGCGAGGTCAGGTCGAGTGCAGGTCATTAGGTACATGAGGCAGCCCACAAGCTCTGGATACGGACCACTCGACTCTACGGACTCATCCGAAGGCAGAGCTAAGAGCGAGTGTCCGGTAGGCAAAGGAGTGGACTGAGGCGAGGAGTACGTGAAGCCGAAGCGCTGAAGGACCTGCTGCACCATGTGTGACTGAGTCAGGGTAATGGTGCGGCGTGCTCTGTCCCGGGTGATCCGCAAGCCAAGATAGCTTGTCAGTTCACCCAGGTCTGTGCACGTGTGTCTCTTCTGCAGCTCGGACTTCACGTGGGCGAGTGCAGCAGTGTCCGCAGTGGCAAAGACCAAGTCGTCGACGTACACGAGGATGTAGAACGGCGGCAGCGAGGTGTCGGTGCGCAGAAACAGCGACGGGTCAGCAGTAGAAGGAGCAAACCCAAGAGCCGCAAGTGTAGTCCTCAGTGTGTCGTGCCACTCACGCGGCGCCTGGCGGAGACCGTAGACTGGCCGCCGGAGGCTCCACTGGGTACCGGGAGGGAACGACCCAGTGAAGCCAGGAGGGCGGCGCAGCCAGATCTCCTCGTGCAGGCGGCCCTGCAGGAAAGCAGTGCTGAAGTCAAGAGAGTGTAGCTCGTAGTCACGCTGAGCAGCGACGTGCAGTAGAACCCGAAGAGTGGTCATCTTCGGGGTCGGGGAGAAGGTCTGAAAGAAGTCAACTCCCTGTCGCTGACTGAAGCCACGAGCCACGTAGCGCGCCTTGAAGACAGGCGGAGAACCCGGCGGCCGCTTCACCCTGAAGATCCACATGCCACTGACAATGTTCGCCCCAGGAGGGGGAACAGCGTCAACGTAGGTGCCTGTGGACTTCCAGGAAGCCATCTCTGCGTCCATGGCTGACTGCCACTGAGAGGAGTAGGGACCGGCCATCGCCTCTGCGTAAGAGCGTGGGGTCGGGATGTCTAGAGCATCCGGGTCTCCCTCAGGGGCAACAAGCATGGACACGAGATGGGGCAAAGCGGCGGCAAAGCACTGGAACTCCTCCTGCCTGTCCTCAAGGACGTCCGTGCCAAGAGCACAGTCACCCCCGACGGACGGAGGACAGGCAGACGCAGACGCAGCAGACGCAGACTCAGCAGACTCAGCAGACTCAGCAACAAGACTGGCAGCGTAGTCTAGACGACACGCAGCAGCAAAGTCGGCCAGCTCAGCAACTAGGGCAGACGCAGCAGCGGACTCAAAGGAAGGGTCAGTGACAAGAGTAGCAAGAAGACGCGTGACAGTAGGACTGGCAGCACGGTGAGAGTCCGACTCCGGGTCGGCAAGTGTAGGAAGAGAAGACTGAGGAGGAGAAGGCAAAGGGGCACGCAGAGGAGCAGTGGACGGACGCAGAGACATCCTGTGTGTGCCAGGGGCAGGAGGAGGACGCTGACGCGAACCGCGACCACTAGGGCGAGCAGCTCGGACTGGCGACGCAGGGCGGGACGCAGGCTCACGACGCTCAGCAAGACCTCCAGTAGGATCAGTGTAGGGAGAAGGAGAAGGCAGGGGAGAGGCGGGCTGTAACTGTGACTGCGACGGGATAGGCTGTGGACACTCTACGGGAGGAAAAGGACCAGCGGAAGGCGGGAGACCAAGAACCTGCTGAAGGAGCGGAACGAAGTACGGCCGAGGCCGCGCAGCACCGCCAGGGACAGCAGGGACAGCACCAACACCTCCAGAGGCAGCACCAGCACCAGTAGCAGCTCCAACTCCAGCACCTCCAGCAGCGCCAGAAGTACCCGCAGTAGGACCGACAGTCGTAGTCTCAGCGCCAGCACCCGCAGCAGCTCCAGCTCTGGAGGCACCCCCGGGCCCGGCAGCTCCAGTACTCTCAGTACGAGCACCTCCGGGACCGGAGGTACCAGCTCCCTCGGCAGAAACAGAACCTCCAGCACCCGCAGCACCCCCAGCTCCAGCAGCTCGCCTCCAGCGCCGGGCAAACCACTCACGCAGCTCCAGAGGAGAGAGCACCTCACGGCGCGAAGAATGGTCCGGAGAACCACCAGGAACAGAAGCAGCAGGCGCAGCACTCCCAGGCGAAGCACCCCCAGACGCAGTACTCCCAGGCTCAGCACCCCAAGTCTCAGCACCCCCAGGCTCAGCACCCCCAGGCTCAGCACCCCCAGGCTCAGCACCCCCAGGCTCAGCACCCCGAGGCTCCGCACCCGCAGCAGCACTAGAGTCACCAGTGACCTCGACAGGCTCGACCGCGTCTACCTGAGACACACCTGAAGGGGCAGGACCCTGAGGGGGGGAGGGGGTCTACCGGGGGGGGACCTGGGACCAGGAAGAGGGGCGGCGGGGGGAGGGATGGAGTGGGGTAGGGGAAGAGCCGGTAGAAGGGAACCGACTCGTCGAACGTGACGTCCTGGGAGGACAGAACACGTCGAGAGGTGGGGTGGTAGAACTGCCACCCAGGGGCGTCGGGGGGGAACCCCAGGAAGACGCAAGGAGCAGCGCGAGGGGACAGCTTGTCCGCAGACAAGTCACGGACAAACGCCCGAGATCCCCAGACACGGAACGCCGACGCATCGCCAACCTTCCCCGTCCACAGCAAAGCTGGGGAGGTCTCCGGTCTGGAGACCCTGGGCTGAAGGTTGATCTGATGCGCGGCGTACCGAACCGCAAACGGCCACAGAAAATGGGGGGCAGCCGCATGCACCATGGACGTACGGGCGACGTCCATGACGATGCCGATGCGGCGCTCAGCAATCCCATTCTGCTGTGGAGAGTCCGGAAGCGTGAAGGTCTGGCGGATGCCTCGTGCATGACAGTAGGCTCGCAGAAGGCCAGAGGAGAACTCTCCGCCTCTGTCCGAGTGCAGACGCAGAACAGGAAAGTCCGAGCCGAAGCTCCTCCTGAGCTGGAGACGAGCTGCGCGGATCTAGTCGATCAACACCTCAGTGACCTCACCCTTGGTGCGCAAGGGGAAGACTGTGGTGTAACGCGAGTAGTCGTCAACCACCAGCAGGAAGTAGCGCTCGTGACCCTGTCCACGGACGCGGGCTGGGCCCCACACGTCCATGTGAAGCGTCTGCATCGGGGCCTCCGTCGGAGGAAACGGGGAGGAGTGAGGGGAAGCCCGCAGGCAACCCTCGACACAGGGGACACAGGGAGGGCCAGGCCCCGGAGGAAGGGGAGGGAGGGACCGGGGAAGACCAGAGACAAGAAGGCGAGAGGCCATGCCCCGGAGACGAGGCAAGGAGGGGTGACCCATGCGGTGGTGCCACAGGAGGGTCTCGTGGGACAGGAGGCGACACGAGCAGGGGGCAGACTCAGGACCAGACCTGGACGCTGCAGCAAACACCTGACCCGACGCAGCTACCTGACCAGACGCAGGAGGAGGAGACGGAACAGTGAGTGTGTACAGGCTCGATCCCGGCCCACGTGTGAAGGTGGTCAAGTGTTGACACGTGTCCGCGTCCGTGCAGTGGGTGTCCCGTCGGCGCGCAGGGGTGAACTGGTCAACCCCTGCATCCTGTAGGTCAGCACCCGCCACCAAGTTCGTAGAGAACGAGGGGAGGTAGAGACCGGACAGGGAGCCAGACGGGACCGGAGTGCACGGCAGGACAGTGGAGTAGCGAGCCAGAACAGGACCCCCAGAGGGGTCCGCCAGGGAGACTGCCACTGGCCGACTAAGCGGCGTGAGTGTGGTGCGGTCTCGAAAGAAGGAGCGAGACGCTCTTGAGTCAAGAGTGAAGGTGAGAGAGGGCGGAGCCGACGCAGTACCTGAGAGAGCAGACTCACCAGCACCTGAGGACACAGACTCACTGGCACCTAGAGCGACAGCCTCACCAGCACCTGGAGCAGCAGCCTCAACAACACCTAGAGCCGCAATACCAATGCCTGGGTCTGGCGGGAAACACCGGTAACAGTCACCCTCCTCACTAATAGTCACAGCATACATGGCAGCAAGAATAGCATCAAAGTCAAGATCAAAGATAGCTACTCCTGCCCTAGACAGCTGGTCCCAGCGAGGGATCTCAGAGGCGTCAGGAAACTGGCGGCGCCAAGCGTCAGTCAGGCGGCCGAAGCAGCGCTGGGTGGAGTGCGGACCACCACACGGCTCACCCGCACGGTCGCCAGTGCGCAGGACGTAGGTGCACGGACCAGTACCCCCACCCCTCTAACGTGCAACGTACCACTCACGGAGCTGCTGCGGGGAGAGGGTCTCCTGACCACGCTGCTGCCGCTGCTGCTGGCGCTGACCACCACCGGAGCCACCCCTCTGCGACGAGCCACGACCTCCGCCGCCGCCTCCTCCGCCGCCGCCGCCACCACCTCCGCTGCCACCGCCACTCCCACCGTCGCCGCCGCCACCGCCGCCTCCGCCTCCACTCCCACCACCACCGCCGCTGCCGCCCCCGCCTCCACTGCCGCCGCTGACACCTCCACTCCCGCCACCACTCCCGCTACCACCCCCACCTCCTCCGCTGCCTCCACCGCCGCCTCCACCGCCCCCGCCGCCTCCACCACCGCTCCTGCCCCCCTTGCCCTTGCCAGAGCGACGTCTCCCACCGGGGGCAGACGCCGCACCGACCGACTCAAAACCAACTAGGTCGGCCGTAGCAGCAGAGGCGACAGAGGGCAGGAGGGGGGAGGGGGAACACCCCTCAAAGATGGGGGTGCGCGGGTCACCACGAGAGGCCCCTACAGCGAGAATGCTCTTCTCGGCTGCTAGGAGGGACTTCTCGAGGAGGTCAACAGTGAGAGTGGTGGGGCAGACTGAGAGTAAGTCGTCCCCGACTCCGCGAAGGGAGTCAGGGAGGCGGGTGACAATGTAGTAGAGAGTGAAGTACATGGGGGGGGGGGTTCTTGGCGCAGAAGTCAGCAGGAAGCGCAGCGCGGAAGCGAGCGTCACTAGTGCACAGGTGGGTAATGAGGTCGGTGACTGTGGCAAAAGAAGCAAGGTCGGGAAAGAGGTACGGTAGCATGAGGCGGCTCAGTGCAGCAGTGGCAGGGGAGGAGTAGCGTGCAATAACGGCGTCGTACAAGGTCTGAGCACTCTTGTACGACCCAAAATGTGCACGCTCAGAGGGAGGGAGGTGGCGACGCACAGCAAGACGTGCAGCAGCATCGCGTGTGGCCCACTGTGATCGAACAGTGGCATCCTCAGTAGCAGCAGGGGCTCGAGAGGCACCAGAAGTGAGATCAAAGAGAGAGAGGCCGTCAGCTCTGTCGCACTGTAGGAAAAGCAGCAGGTCGTCTACCCACACGTCAAAGTCAATGGCTCTGCCCTCAGCGTCAAAGGTGAGGACACTAGGGGTAGCCATGACTGCAGTAGGGTGAGGGCAGTGCACAGAGTAAAGCTCAGTGCTCACCAGACAGGGCAGTGCAGGCGGCTCGGGCGGCTCGGGCGGCTCGGGCGGCTCGGGCGGCTCGGACGGCTCGGCGGCTCGGCTGCTGGGCGGCTCGGGCGGCTCGGCGGCTCGGGCGGCTCGGGCGGCTCGGCTGCTTGGGCGGCTCGGCTGTTGGGGCGGCTCGGCTGCTGGGGCGGCTCGGCTGCTGGGGCGGCTCGGCTGCTGGGGCGGCGCAGTTGCTAGGGCGGCGGGGCCGGGAGATGCAGCTGCGGGGCCGGGAGATGCAGTGGCTGGGCCGTCAGGGGTAGTGGCGGGGCCGGTAGGTGAAGCGGCGGGGCCGTCAGGTACAGCAGCGGGGCCGGCAGGTGAGACGGCGGGGCCTGCAGATGAGGTGGCGGGGCCGGCAGGTGCAGCAGCGGGGCCGTCAGAGGGGACGGCGGGGCCGTCAGGTGCAGTGGCGCGGCCGTCAGAGGGGACGGCGGGGCCGTCAGGTGCAGTGGCGGGGCCGTCAGAGGGGACGGCGGGGCCGTCAGGTGCAGCGGCGGGGCCGTCAGAAGCAGCGGCGGGGCCGGCAGAGGGGACAGCGGGGCCGTCGGGTGCAGCGGCGGGGTTGGCAGAGGGGACGGCGGGGCCGTCAAGTGCAGCGGCGGGGCCGGCAGAGGGGACGGCGGGGCCGTCAGATGCAGCGGAGGGGCCGGTAGAGGGGACGGCGGGGCTGTCGCAGGCGATCGCGGGGCCGTCAGAAACGGCGCCGGCGTCGCGAGGGTCAGAGGGGGCGGCGCGCGACTGGAGGGCGGCACGCGCGACGCGGCACGGCCGTCTAGGGGCGGCGCGACGAGGCCGCGTAGGTGGCGCGCCAAAAAATCGCGGGCGGCTCGACGCGATCGGGCCGCCAAAGGAAAAAAAAGGCCCAGCGCGACTCGGGCTAGGGCAGAGCGCGCTCCGGGCAGGACAGAATAGTAGGTGGGCCCTAGGAACAGTTCCCACTAGGGAACCTGCTCTGATACCATGTTGAGATAGAGGCGAGGAATGGTACACTATGAAATGAAAGAAGTACAAGTACCAACCCTAATTGGGTTGTACCCCCTATGGGCTACCCCACTACAGCCTACATATATGCATCAGCAATATATAATCATCTGACAAGTACACATATATATATAAGGCTAGACAAGCAAGAGCAGGTGTATATATATACGTAACAGTACAAGCAAGGTCAAGAGGTGAGCAAGTGAGGCAAGGCATGCACAAGACCCAGCTGAGTACAGAAGCGCTGATGATCACAAGGCGCAAGTGCCTTGGTGAAGATATCAGCAGTGTTGGTTTCAGAGGCCACGTACGCAAGACGGAGCTGACCACGCTGCTGTAGCTCACGAGCAAGGAAGTAGCGAAGAGCAATGTGCTTCGTTCTGTGCTCCAGTTTCTGCTCTTGACACAAGGCCAGCATGGCCTTGTTGTCGACGTACAGCACTGGAGGAGAACGAGGCGGCTTTCCGAGGTCAGTCAGCAAGTAGGTGAGCCAGCGAACCTCCTGTGCAGCCATGGCCCCGGCGTAGATCTCAGCCTCACAACTGGAGCCGAGAACAGAAGACAAGCGGGTAGCCCGCCACGAAACAGAGCCGGAACCAAGGCTGAAGGTGTAACCCTGCGACGACCGCTGCGTAGCCCGGTCGTCAGCCCAAGAAGCGTCTGCGTGCCCAGTGAGGACCACTGGACTCTGCCCTCCAAGCACAAGCCCCATGCCCACCGTACTGCACAAGTAGCGCAACACCCTCTTCGCTGCAGCCATGTGCTCTGGTCGGTGTCTACCAGGAGCAACATAGCGTGCCAAGATGCTAAGAGGGTATGCAAGGTCAGGTCGTGTGCAGGTCATTAGGTACATGAGGCAGCCAACAAGCTCTGGGTACGGGCCACTCGACTCTACGGACTCATCCGAAGGAAAAGCTGAGAGCGAGTGGCGAGTAGGCAGAGGAGTGGCCTGAGGCGAGGAGTACGTGAAGTCGAAGCGCTGAAGGACCTGCCGCACCATGGGTTATAGGCGCACTGACCCGCTACTTAAAGAAGCCCTTTTATCCCAGTGGTCTAGTGGCTGGGATTCTGACATGGTATTGGAGCGGTCTCGGATTCGATTCCCGGTGTATGCACTTTGGGCATCCTAGTGCGGGGGGGTGTCAGAGATCCACTGGTGATCCCTGATTGATCCTAGGGAAGGGTTACAGGCACGGTTGCCTGGGGGGTTATGGTCGCACTGACCCGCTACTTAAACAAGCCATTTTATCCCAGTGGTCTAGTGGTTGGGATTCTGACATTCTCCTCCGTCTAAGTGGAAGAGTTTTAGCTTCACTCCTGATTCTCGTTCTGCTACTGGAAGCCAAGCGACGAAAGCCATGTCGCGGTTTGGGGATCACGACTTCGCAATGAAGTTGCTGCTCTCGTTGTACGAAGCAGCCTGAACAGTACATGTGCTTTCTAGAAACCAATTATCCTTTCCGGACGGCTCGCTTTGGGCAATTGCTGCATACGTCGGATTCGGCTCCAATGATTCACCGCGAGGGGTGCTTTCGTCGAGTTGTTCTTCTGGTGAGTAGTACGTTGGCGACCAGGTGATGCAGAGTCTGTCGTTCTTGCCATGCAGCTCACGATGTTTTTTGTGCCTTGTGCAGGTTTTGTCGTCGATGTCGTTGAGGACTGTACTTGATTGGTGGGATGCGTTTGTGTAGAATTCACTTGACTGCTTGAGGGTCAAAGTTGATGTTGCAGCGGCGTTGACTGCTACTGATTCGGGCAGTGAGCTCGAGGGTGTCCTTACGTCTTGCAGAGATGGCAGAACGGCGGAACGTTCTGTTGAGCTTGATGTTTGTTCTGTCGGTTGTTTTTGCTGTTGTTGTTGTAGCGTAGTTGAGTGTGAAACGCAAACTCAGGTGCTGACGCTCTTTTGTTGTGTCGTTCTTCGTGTAGGTCCATGTCCTGCTGCTCAGCATGCATCTCAGTGTAGAGGGCTGCTTCGGAGATCTTTCCGTGGGCTCCAAGAATGGCTCGAGTGGAGCGCCAATGAGGACCGAGGCCAGTGATGACGACTGTGACGAAGGCTTCTTCAGATATCGATCCACCGCATCAAATGAGTCTATCAAGTAGTCTGCGGCAACGGCTAATATACGCCATTCCCTTTTTGCCTGGTTTCATTTCCGCTGTTGTTAGTTGTGCCATGAGGCGAATTTGATTAACGCTATCTGTTGACTGATACAGGTTCTTCGGGTGGTTGTACGCGAGCTCGGCGGAGTTCTCATATCCACGATAAGACCGGATATTCTGCTGTTCATTCGGCGTTATGTTTGTAGCAAGATTGTGTATGCCATCAGCGACTGATATGTATACTGCTGCTTGTCGTACTGTGTTCCGTGTGTTGGGTATGGCAAGGAGCCGTCAAAGAATCCAAGGATTTGCGCGCCCTCCATCATCAGCTCGAACTCGAATGACCAGGTATAGAAGTCTTTGTCGTCGAACGGTGTTGATGTCTGCAGTTTCAGAACATGTGCAATCTGCGACTGTACTTGAAGCGCGTCCAGTGGCTTCTCTTGTCCAGGTGGAGGCTGATCTGGCATGAAGCTGATGGAGCCATGTTGGGGCTCGTATGGAGCAAACGTAAGTTGTTGCTGATTTTCGCGCGCATAAGATGAGCCGTCAAGACTCATGGGTGTAACGCCATTGTTGTTGTCACTGTTGTTTGGTTGCGCAGGTGCCGTTTCCTGGTGTTGCTCGTAGAACGACATGAAGGAGAAGAACTTCTCCATCATGCTTGGGTCGATGCTGGTTGCCTGATTCGCAGGAGTTTCAGTAGATTTAGCAGCTGGTCTTGTTGCTGTACCTCCTTCTGTCTGTAGGCCAAAGGCTGGAGGTGGGGTAGGAGTGGTACCGGGAGATCCGTTAGAGGAGCTTCTCTCCTTCTGATATGGCATGAAGCTGATGGAGCCATGTTGGGGCTCGTATGGAGCAAACGTAAGTTGTTGCTGATTTCCACGCGCATAAGATGAGCCGTCAAGACTCATGGGTGTAACGCCATTGTTGTTGTCGCTGTTGTTTGATTGCGCAGGTGCCGTTTGCTGGTGTTGCTCGTAGAACGACATGAAGGAGAAGAACTTCTCCATCATGCTTGGGTCGATGCCGGTTGCCTGATTCGCGGGAGTTTCAGTAGATTCAGCAGCTTGTCTTGTTGCTGTACCTCCTTCTGTCTGTAGGCCAGAGGCTGGAGGTGGGGTAGGAGTGGTACCGGGAGATCCGTTAGAGGAGCTTCTCTCCTTCTGCGTTGCCATGCCTTCTGTTGTTGTAGGAGACTGGAATGAAGTTGGATCTTGCCTTGTAGCTCTCGTACCATGTTGGGCTGAGAAAAGCCTTCAGGATCTTTTCAAGGATAGGATCCAGTATAGGAATGTTGTAATTACGGAAGCGTTCTTACTAGACTGTTGAATCAGCTTGCACTAGTGTGTGAGAGCAAGAGATTGATTATATCAAAGTAATACAAGCTTTTATATGATTACAAGGAATATGAAAAGATGCAACCAACTGTTTTACTGTTGCTGTTGCGGTTCGATACAACGATGACTCAGGCAACTGCTCAATACTGAGTCAGTTTGTTTGTCCTTGCTGTCAGGCTGCTTTTCGTCAAGTCAAAGGTCGGCGACCTTTGACCTTCGCGTAACCTCCAGCTGTTACTTTCTGTCAACCTCCTCGGTTGACTCGCCATCGCTTCGCTGTAATCCGCCTCATTTGTAGTTCCATGTTTCGACACAACTGGAGCGTTAATGAATTGTTTCCAACAGCTTGTGCCCTAGTGACCTAGTTGCAGGTGAGCGTATATCCAGTTTTGGTTGCTATGGAACAATGTCAAATGATGTAGTCTTAGTGGTGTGCGTTATAGGGGGTACAACTGTTAGGGTTAGGTTTATGTACCCCAACCAGCCTTAGTGAAACCAAAACTTTCATTCTTGACATGGTATCACCTAGGTTAGGATCTCGTGGGATCCCGTTCCTCTCGATCACGTTCGTAGCGTCCGAGCCTCTCCCATACCCTAGTGCTCGTCCCGCCCTTACCGTCCTGTAGCACCTCTCGCACTCGTCTCTCACGTGCCCTAGCGCGTGCTGCGCCGCCCTTACCGTCCCGTAGCGCCTCTCCCGCGCGTCTCTCACGTGCCCTAGCGCCTGCTGCGCCGCCCGTCCCGTCCCGCTCGTTCCGTCCCTCGCGTCCCGCGCGTCCCGTCTCCCCCCTTCCCGCACGTCCTGTCCCCCCCGTCCCGCACGGCCCGTTCCCCCCGTCCCGCGCGTCCCGTCCCCCCCATCCCGCACGTCCCTTCCCCCCCGTCCCGCACGCCCCGTGCGTCCCATCCCGCGCGGCCCATCGCACGCGTCCAGTGTGTCCCGTCCCGCGCGTCCCGTCGCGCGCACCCTGTGCGTCCCGTCCCGCGCGTCCCTCACGTCCCGTCCGTCGCGCCCCCGTTGCGCCCTGCCCGTCCATCGCTCCCCCGCTGCGCCCCGCCCGTCCGTCGCGCTCCGTGCGCCCTGTCCGTCCTTGCGCCCAGTGCGCCCTGCCCGTCCGTCGCGCCCTCGTTCCGCCATGCCCGTCCGTCGTGCCTCGTGCGCCCTATCCGTCCGCACCTGTCCCGTCCGTCCCTGCCAGTCGCGTCCTGTACCGTCACGTCGCACTATCTGTCGCGTTTAGGGTTTTGACGATATCGTTCCCATCTCTTCGCTTCCTCTATGGCAACTCCCCAGGGTCCTGCGCTTTGACGTCGAGGGTAGGCCGCTTGAGTTTCCCATCTGGCTTCAGCTTGCGCGCCGCCTTTTAGAGAGTCAAGTTCACACGGATGTTTCTCTGTGGTCGCACGTTTCTGGCGACATTCCTAAGCCCGTCGATCCTACACCAGGCGCATACCGTTACGCTCGCCAGCGTGCTGACCTCACAGCATGGACGTCGCATGACGCAGCGGCCTCCTCCCTGAGTCTGAGGAGACTCACTTCATTCAGGTTTGCATGGCTAGTGAGTTCCTGACCGCGATCAAGGCGCGCTACGCCACTCCCACCACTGTCTCTCTAAGTTGCGTGTTCCTCCCGTTCCTGTTTCCTGACCTCGTCTCGTTTGAGCGCTCTGCTGATTTGATCGCTCACCTCCGTTCATTAGATTCTAGCTACCGCGCTGCTTGCACTAACGCACAGCTTGCACTTCTGTAATTCACCTGAATTGTTAATACCTGAAGACACTTTTTGTGATTCAGGCTGCGGGTTTCAAGAAACGGCATTTTGCTAAGGTTAATAAATGGAATTTTGCTAAGGTTAAAGCCGGCGGCCCAAATTGTTCATGCTTTTAAAAGTTGACCAGAGGAAGTTTTTCTGGTGTAGGCTTTGGCGAGAGTTCGCAATTTCGTCTAGGTTCGCTTTTTTCGCGAGACCCAGCCAGCCCTCGGTTTTCCCCCTGGTGAGTGAATCTGTCTTCGAAAGTCCCAAATTGCAGGTGCGTGACTTTCAAAAGCTTGGACACTCAACTTCGTCAAGTTTTAAAAACTTGACCCTCGCGGTCCGCAATTTGGGACGCGGGCTTTAAGAAACGGGACTTTGCTGAGATGAAGTAGCCGGACTTTGCAGAGCGCGGCAATGAGTGACGTATTGCTTCCGCTGCAAATCTGATGTTAACTGTTACCATGCTCGTGTCGCACTACCTGCCCCGTCAGGTGCGGCGCTGTTCGCTGCAGCCACGTTTGCATCATTTGTCGGAACATTCTTCCCGCGCGGCGACGGCAACACCGTTTCTCTCGCCACTCAACCAATCAAACCCCAGATGTGGAAAGGAAAAGTATTTGGAAAGAAATTCCTTACTATACACATCTCCTATTATTAGTTATTCAAGCTTATTCTGAAGCCGCCTATAGCTGTCGCTCATTCTGAAGCCGCTTCATTGTTCTTCCACTGACTCCAAATTATAATAACCCTCTAGAACAACCCGCGAGTAGCATGTCGGCACTGACTCTCAACACCCCATTTAGTTCTTTTTTTCAGTTAAGTATATGGCCAAGTTGCGTCCAACTAAGATCAATGGGAAAGTAGTGGGTGACAAAGGCGCAACGGGCGTAGTTATCTTTAAGGGTGTCAGGTACGTACCAATCAGGTAACAGGGCTGAGCAATGTCTCGGGTTTTACTCTTGAACTGTTCTAACTCGATGCCGCACCTTGAACCCTGATTTTACCTTTGAGTCGACTCCAAAGTTACCGTAACTTGAACTGTGCCTTTTCTCACATGATGCCTATTATGATTTGTACTAAACAGAGTGCGCGGAAGACTTTATAAAAAGGATGTCGAGTACAGAATGATCAAGAATGATAAAGGAGCACGCATTAATAGGGTCAAAACCGTGCTAGGCGAGGACCTCGGGACGTGGATGGGTTGGAAGTGTCGCGATTGGTGTGGGGCGACTCGGTAGTGGTTCGGTCCAAAACGTAGGCCGAACCTGGAACTGACGCGAAGAGCTCGGGGCTGTCCTCTCTAGGAGCAGCTTTGGCAGTAGTGAATGTATATTCATTACAATGCCCTTCCTTGAACCCTGATTTTACAGCTACGATGGTCAAGTGAATGCCTTCTATGAAATTTATGTACGTTATCGAAACCTCAAGTCTGGAGGAGCAAGTCCCAAAGGGAACCTACAGCATTCCTGCGCTTCTACTGCTCCTACAAAGGACGGTAGCTCCTATCCTATCTGAACTTCACCACTCCGAAGGCTGGTCATCGCAATTGCTACACATTTGGATACACTGTTATCTTAGAATAGGAATGCAACGGATTGCTCGAAACTAGAAAGTGTGAGAGTACAAATATGCTACCCTAACAACTGTACTCCCTATTGTGCTACTCACTGTAGCCTACAAGCATAGAATTACATTTGACACATCCCCATAGGCTAAGTGAGGGGCATCAAAGCAAGCAAGGTGAACAAACGGTCACAAGACCAGTCAAAGCAAGAAGCAAGGCAAGCTCAGGGAGGATCTCAAGGACACCACACAAATTCCGAGCGCAAGCAAGCGGCCACAAGGCCAGTTCAAGAGTTCACTACGATATAAATAGGAAGCACAACAAGCAGAGCAAACAACAAGACTACTGAAACCGAGGGCCTACCTCAACAAGCCCCAGCTGCACACAGAACCTGTGGTGATCACCAAGCGCCAAGGCCTTGGTGAAGACGTCTGCAGTGTTGGCCTCTGAGGCGACAAAGTACAGGCGTGCCTGGCCGCGTCGCTGCAGCTCTCGCATAAGGAAGTACCTCACGTCAATATGCTTCACTCTGCTGTCCAGTCGAGGCTCTCGACACAGGAGGATCATGGCCTTGTTGTCAGCGTACAAGGTTGGTGCAGAGCGAGGCCGCTCACCAAGGTCGGCGAGCAAGAAGGTCAACCAGCGAAGCTCCTGTGCCGCCATGGCACCAGCGTAGATCTCTGCCTCTGCACTGGAAGTAGCCACAGACGACGACCGTGTAGACCTCCACGACACAGCACCAGTTCTCAGACTGAAGCAGTAACCCTGAGTCGAGCGCTGAGTCTCCACGTCGTCAGCGTAGGAAGAGTCGCAGTGACCAGTCAACGCCACTGGCTGAGTCCCTCCAAGCACAAGCCCCATGCCTGATGTAGTCGCCAGGTACTTCGCCACCCTCACAGCAGCTATCCAGTGGACAGGACGGTGTCTCCCAGTCGCAACAAAGCGAGAGAGGATGCTGAGGGGAAAGGCGAGGTCCGGCTGAGTACAAGTCATCAGGTACATGAGGCAGCCCACAAGCTCTGCGTAGGGACCACTCGGCACAAAGGGCTCGTCAGGAAAGGGGCCAGTGAGTCGGTGGTCAACAGCAAGAGGAGTGGGCTGTGTGGTGGAGAACTGGAAGTCGAACCGCCAAAGGACCTGCTGCACCATGTGTGACTGCGTCAGTGTGATGGTGCGAGCGGCTCTGTCCCTGGTGATCTGCAGGCCAAGGTACTGGTGCAGCTCACCCAGGTCAGTGCACTTGTGTCTCTTCTGCAGTTCGGACTTCACCTGAGCCAGGGCTGCCCTGTCTGCGGTAGAAAACACCAAGTCGTCAACGTAGACAAGGATAAAGAAAGGAGTAGAACCCGCTCGAACAAACAGCGACGGGTCGGCGGAGGACGGGCTGAACCCAAGGTCATGAAGCATGGAGCGAAGAGTGTCGTGCCGCTCACGGGGCGACTGGCGGAGACCGTAGACTGGTCGCCTCAGGCTCCACTGGGTCCCAGGTGGGAAGGTGTCAGTGAAGCCAGGAGGACGGCGCAGCCAGATCTCCTTGTGCAGTCGGCCCTGGAGGAACGCAGTGGAGAAGTCAAGGGAGTGCAGCTCGTAGTCTCGCTGCGCTGCTATGTGGAGTAGCACCCGAAGAGTAGTCATCTTCGGGGTCGGGGCGAAGGTCTGGAAGAAGTCAACTCCCTCACGCTGACTAAAGCCCCTAGCCATGTAGCGCGCCTTGAACAACGGCGGTGCTCCAGGCGGCCGCTTCACCTCGAAGAGCCACATGCCATCGACTACGTTCGCCCTGGGAGGGGGAACTGCGTCGACGCAGGTGCCTGTGGTTCTCCAAGACGCCAACTCTGAGTCCATAGCCGCTTTCCACTAAGAGGCCCACGCCCCTGACACTACCTCGCAGTAAGTGCGAGGAGTCGGTATGTCAAGGGCGTTGCGGTCTCCCTCAGGGGAGAGCAGCATGGCACACACAGAGGGAGAAGCGGCTGCCCAGTACTCCAGCTCAGACTCTCTGTCCTCTAGGACGTCACAGCCAAGGGCAAACCCACCCCCGACGGACATAGGACGGGAGGGAGGAGCTGGCACCACACGGGTGGCGTAGTCAAGGCGACTGGTGGCAGCAAACTCAGCGAGAGCGGCAGTGAGAGCCGAGGCAGACGACGGAGGGAAACGAGAGTCGGTGACAAGAGTGGCGAGGACACGTGCGGCAACAGGACGAACAACGCGGTAGTAGTCAGAGATAGGAATGGGGAGGGTTGTGAGAGAGGACGGAGGAGGAGACGGGAGAACGTACACAAGAGAAGGAGAACGACAACGAGACGAACAAAGGAGGGCAGTGTGGAGGTCAGTAACAGAGGACGAGTGACGAGCACGCGGAGGACAACGAGTGATCAAGTCGCGACAGACAGAAGGTGGAGGAGACGGGGGAGGAGGAGAAGACCAGACCGCCGGACGGTCGTCAGGAGGAGGCAACGGAGGAACAAACACAGGAGGAGACTGGGAGCGGACAGAAGGAGAGGAGGAAAGGCCAAGGGCCCGCAGGCCACTCACAGGTGGGAACAACTGCCGCTCCAGAGGAAGTTGCGGAGGCGGCTGCGGCTGCGGCTGCAGCTGCGGCGGCGGCTGCAGCTGCTGCTGCTGCTGCGGCTGCTACTGCTGCTGCTGCTGCTGTTGCTGCTCCTGCTGCTGTTGCTGCTGCTTCTGCTGCTGCTGCTGCTGCTGCTGCTGCTGCTCCTGCTGCTGCTGCTGCTGCTGTTGTTGCTGCTGTTGCTGCTGCTGCTGCTGCCGCTGCTACTCCTGAAGGTCCAGCACCCGCAGCTCCTGCCGCTCCCTCTCCAACCGCTCCTGCTCCTCACGCTCACGCCGACGGGCAGCCTGGATACGCGTGTCGCGACGATGGGGAGGCGGAGTGGACCCCGCAGAACCAGGGTCTCCAGCTCTAGTCTCCTCAGACTCAGCACCCCCAGAACCAACACCTCCAGTGTCAGGACCCCCAACTCCAGCAACCCCAGAACTAGCACCTCCAGCGCTAGCACCTCCAACTCCAGCACCCCCAGCTCCAGCACCCCTAGAGCTAGCGCCACCTGCACCAGCCCCTCCAGCTCCAGCACCCCGCAAACGAGCACCCCCAGACCGCGCACCACCAGCGGCTGCACCTCCAGCTCCAACACCAACCAAGTCCACAGGAACCTGTCGCGGAAGTGCCGAAGGCTGCTGAGGGGACTGTGAGGAGGACTGCGGGGAGGGAGACGCTACCTGACGCGTGACCGAGGGTAGAGGGGTAGCATGGGACACACCAGACGGGGCAAGTCCAGGGGGGGGAGGGGGTACCGGAGGAGCAGGAGCAGGAGGAGGAGAGGGTGCCAGGAAAAAGGGGTAGGGGGTACCGGGAGACCTCGACAGGGGTACCGGGTGTAGTAGGACACAGACTCGTCAAACCGGACGTCACGGGAGTCTAGGAACAGATGGAGGGGCGGGTGGTAAAAGGACTAGTCGGCAGAGTCCACTGGGAAACCAAGGAAGACACAGGGGACGGCGCGTGCCGAGAGCTTGTCCGCGGAGGTGTCGCGAACAAGCGCAAGGCAGCCCCAGACTCGAAAGGCCGACCCAACACCAGGGGAACCAGTCCAAAGACTAGTCGGTGAAGCCTCGGGCCGCGAGACACGCGGCTGGAGGTTCAGCTAGTGTGCGGCGTAGCGAACCGCGTGGGGCCACAGAAAATGGGGCGCATGGGCATGGATCATGGACGTGCAGGCAATGTCCATGACCAGGCCTATGCGGCGCTAAGCAACCCCATTCTGCTGTGGGGACTCTGGCAGCGTCCAGGACTGTGTGATGCCCTGTTCGCCACAGAATCCGCCGAGAATGCCGGAGCGAAACTCGCCCCCACGGTCGGAGTGGAGACAACTGACTCGACAACCACGAGTGCCCTCAGTGGCTAGAAGCCACCTGATCAACGTAGCAGTCACCTCGGACCTCGTCGTAAGAAGGAACACTGTGGTGTACCTGGAGAAGTCGTCGACGACCACCAGAAAGTAACGCTCCCTCCCAGACCCCTGCGTCGGGGCAAGGCCCCAGACGTCCAAGTGGAGATTCTCGAAGGGAGCGGTGGCTGGACGAAGGGAGGAGGAGTGGGGAGTGGCGCGTAAGCGACTGGCGACGCACGGAGAGCAAGGAGGGGCAAGCGAGGGAGGGAGCGACGGGAAGGTGCATGGGAGATCTGTGACAAGTCCCTGACTGAGCATGCCACGAAGGCGAGGGATCGACGGGTGGCCAAGGCGGTGGTGCCACAGGACGGTGCGGTGGGCTAGAGAGCGACAGGAGCAAGACGCAGCGACTGGACTGGACACAGCGACCGGACCGGACACGACTACCTGGCTAGACACCGCAACTGGACTGGGGGCCTGGGCCGGAGGGGACGCAACGACCTGAGGAGAGGACACGACCGCGGAGCGCTCGGTGTGGAGAACGTAGAGACCGGAGCGGGGCTCCCTGGTGAACGTGGCTAGAACAGCACTTGTGGTAGCGTCTGTACAGACTGCAGTTCGCCCAACCCCCACAAAGGTAACCGTAATCCCCCTGTCCTGGAGGTATCCAACACCCACCAAGTTCCGAGTGAACGAGGGGATGTGGAGGCCACGCAGGACACCAGAGGGGACCACAAGGCACGCGAGGGTGGTGGAGCTACGCGCAACGGCTGGTCCAGAGGTAGGATCAGCCAGAGCCACTGACACAGGAGTGAGGAGTGGCGTAAGGATCGTGTGGTCGCAGAAGAAGCACTGAGACACGCCCGAGTCCAGCGTGAACGACAGAGAGGCCTCATCCGGAGGGTCACTTGACCCAGTCGCTACACAAGCACCTAGAGCAGCAACACAAGCACCTAAGCTAGACAGGCACAAGGCTACACTAGTAGGAGGCAAGCAGGCTAAACTACGAACACGCGAGCACACAGATCCCTCAGCACTAAAGTCAGCATCAACATACAAAGCATGCTGGCGCGCATCATCCATGGACAAATCAAAGACATCAATCTTACGGGTTAACAGACGAGACCAGCGAGGCGTGACCGCCAGGGGGCCCCAGCGAGCCCGGTAGAGGTCGTCGAGGCGGCGGAAGCACCGCGCGGCAGAGTGGTCGCCGCGACCACAGAGACAGGGGCTGCCCGGCCCGGTGAGGCACCAGTGGGCGCAAGGGCCAGCGTCACGGCGAGGGGGGCGAGGGGCCCAGCTGGAAGAGCTGCTGCTGCGACCGGTGCTCGCAGGGCCTCCCGGACCCCACTGCGGCGGGGGACCCCAGTGCTGCTGCGGACCCCACTGCAGCGGGGGCCCCCACTACTAGAACTGCTGCGGTGTCTACTACTGCTGCTGTCCCTCCTGTGGCTGGTGCTGCTGTGGCTGCTGCTGCTGGGGGGCAGCACCCCCACCGGTCGGGCCACCACCTGTGGGTGGACCTGTCTATCCTGCGCCTCCTCCAAGGCCCCCTCCCCCTGGTGCACCACCGCCGCCGCCGCCGCCTCCACCACCACCGCCGCTCCCACCTCCACCGCCCCCTCCACCGCCACCTCCTCCGCCCCCACCTCCCCCCTTCCCGCCCTTCTTGCCACTCTTGCCCCGTTTCAGCCAGTCTAAGGCAGAAATGGCAGCGGTGTCCTCAGAGACCGACACAGCAGCAAAAGCGTGGGTAGCGGTGAAAGTGGGAAGCTGAGGGGCGGCACACCCCGCAAAGAGACGGGGGGGCACCGCATCAGTGGCGGAGGCAACGGTGAGGAGGCTGTTCTCGATGGTCCCGAGAGCAGTCTGAAGGAGGTCTATAGTGAGTTCAGTGGGGTGCTTCTGAAGAAGCGCGTCGCGGGTAGTGGCAAGGCGGTCAGGGAGGCGGGTGACTAACCAGTGCACAGTAAGCCACATGGGGGGGGGGGGGGAGCAACAAGGAGTTGTGCGTCGGTACAGGCCGAACGAAAACCGGCGTCAAGCGAGCGGAGGTGAGTCACTAGGTCAGAAACAGTCGCAAACGAGCCTAGGTCGGGAAACACGAACGTCATGAGGAGGCGACTGAGGGAGGCGGAGGAGGGGGTGGAATAGCGAGCCACAATAGCATCCCAAACCCCCTTGGCTGTCTCCACCTGGTCAAAGGGAGCGGCCTCAGTCGGGGGGAGAAGCTCCGATAGCGTGAGGGCGGCGGCCGCGTCACGAGAGAGCCACACGTCCCGAGCCAGGACCCGACGGTCGTAGTCCGCCTGGGCCGTAGGAGTCGGCTCCGGGGCGGTCGGCAGGGCAGCGGGGGACGGGGGTGCCGCGAGAGCACCCGACGCGTGGGCCCACAGAGTAGCGCCAACGTGACGCTGGCTGGTGAGGAAACGTGTGGTCTAGCGCTGCCAGGTACAGAACTCGATCGGGCATCCCTCAGCATCGAAACGGAGACGACGGGCCTCCATAGCGGAGCCCACGCTAGAGGCGACTAGAGCACGGCGGAGGCGGAGCTAAGAACGAGGAGGAAAACTACGGAGGGCTAGGGACGCCAGCGGGGAAACCGACGAGAGACAGTGGGCGAGAAAATACTCGTGGGGCAGGGCTCTAACCGAACCTAGGTGGCGCTACCGGAGGGAAGAGCGGCTGCCAGTCGCTGAGCCGGGAGCCAAGTGCAGTAGGAATGGCGTGGGACCGGTGCACAGGTGAAGGGGAGTGAGATGCAGTAAGCGCACAGAGTGATGCGGTAAGTGTACGCAGGTGTGCGGTAAGCGCACGCAGGTGTGCGGTAAGTGCACGCAGGTGTGCGGTAAGTGCACGCAGGTGTGCGGGAAGTGCACGCAGGTGTGCGGGAGCGCACAAAGAGTGATGCGATAAGTGCACGCAGGTGTGCGGTAAGCGCACGCAGGTGTGCAGTAGGTGCACGCAGGTGTGGGGTAAGCGCACGCTGGTGTGCGGGAAGCGCACGCAGGTGTGCGGGAAGCGTTGACGGAGGAGGGCGCGCGCCGGTTGAGGAGGGCGCGCGACGGTGGAGGGGAGGGCGCGCGGCGGTCTAAGGAGGGCGCACGACGATTTTGGAGGGCGTGCAACGGTGGGGGAGGGCGCGCAGAGGTCTAAGGAGGGCGCGCGACAGGCTGGACAGCGCGGGAGGGCGCGGGCTAGGCGCGAGGAGGGCGCGGAGGGCGCGGAGGGCGCGAGAGCACGGAGGGCGCGTAGGGCGTGTAGGGCGCGGAGGCTAGCTAAAAACGAATGAGGATCTAGCCTACTCGTGATACCATCTTAGAATAGGAATGCAACGGAATGTTCGAAACTAGAAAGTGAGAGAGTACAGATATGCAACCCTACCAACTATACTCCCTATTGTGCTACTTACTGTAGCCTACAAGCATATAATTACATTTGACATATTAGTCAAGGGTCATTGTCTGAAGCAGATATCCGTGCCAATCTTGCCCGGATTGTTTCTCGGAAATTATGCTATAGTGGGGCATGCGAAGAACCTGATGGCACTCTGTGGGAAATTAAAGAAAACGTGCCAACTGTAGCGTGGAAATTTTAGATCCCTAGAGATGGGTTGCCTTTCTGTACGTGATTAGGTAGGAGTTGTGTCTCAAACTTGAAGTATCAAGACCTTAATCCCTGGACTTGAAAACCTGAGTGGCTTGAGGCGACTGTGACCATACTTTGCCCAATCATGTATCATTGCTAGTGCAAACTCTCTAAGGTACAAAGTCACATTCACATGAAGTTCTAGTTACAACGAGATTCTTCCTGAACGAGTGTCAGTGTGACGTAGCCCCACCTGCTTCGTTCCCCTTTCCTCCTGACGTCACCCTCCCCCACCCCCTATCTCGCCCAGTCACCTCGCGTCGCGTCGCGTCGCCCCTCGCTGTCGCCGCCACAACAAATCACACACGCAAGCTTGTTCCATCGCTCCTCCTGCCTTACTAAATGCAGTATAAATATGTCGCGCTCCATCTGCTGTTCACTCAGCGTTGAATAGCCACGATCGCGCGAGTTCGCCCTTTTCCAGCTCGTTTTGCTTGCGGCACGGCTGCTGAAAATCGCGATAGTTGACAAGGTTTCAGGATTGTTTCTTGGTCATGCGATCTGTCGCCGTCTCCTGTGCGATTCGCACGATTCGTCGCTTGCCGTGGAACACGTTGCCCGTCGCACAGCTGCATAGGGTCGCACCGTCGCTTCAAGTCGCACAGCCGCGAAAGGTCGCACAATCAGTTGGACTCTCGACAACTGTTTTGGACGCGTTACAGCCTCTTCGCAGGCCTTTCGCGAACCTCTGGGTGAATCGGCGACTATCGCCGGCAAGCGTGAGCCGCATCATCGTGGCTTCGACTAACGACTCCTGCGATCTCCGCGACAACAAGTCCTTTTCGCACGCGATGACAGGCGCCGCCAACAATGCCGCTCACTCCGCCGCCAAAATCCCCTTCCAAGCGGACGAACTTACGTTCGCGAACCCGGCAGAAGCAGCTGTTCGTAGTAACCCGACCAGCGCGACGGAGCACGGAGATGGGAACGCGGCGAAGGTTCCAGGAAAGAGGCTCATCAGGCGAATGGAGAGCAGCGATCCGTTGGCGCTACTGAAGGCGCTCGCCCCAATGCAGGTACTATGCACGTTATGAGACGTCTCACTACTGACGGCGCTGCAGGTACCAAACGTGGTGCCTGCCTCTTCCTAATTGCCTGCTCAGCCATCCCTCCATCCCTCCTTCTCCCCCTCCCTCCCCGCAATCCTCCTGTTCAGGTGCTCTTGGGAGCGGGCATGCTCACGGCGCTTGTCCTCCCCCGCCCCCTCGCCCTCGCCCTCACGGCCGTCGCCCTCCTGCCGCCCATTCTGCGCACTGCGCTGCACAGCTGGCGCTGGAGCCACGCCAGGAAGGGCGGTTCCGGGGGGGGTGCATCTGGAAGAGAGGGGGAGACGGGGGAGAAGAGGGAGGGGAGGGCGGAGGGGAAGGGGGAGGGGAAGGCGGAGGGGAAGGGGGAGGGGATTAAGGGGGACGTTGGAGCTGAGAGGGAGGGGCTTCTGGGGGAGGTGCTACTTGAGGCAGATAAGGCAATGGCGAATGGCAAGGAGAACGGAGTCAGTGGGCGGCACGAGGCGGCAGCTTCCGGAAACTTGTTACCTGTGAACGGGATTGACATATTCCAGGGCCGGATGGCTGGCAAGATGGATGGCGACTTTTGTCTGTTTCTGATCGGGGCGAGAGCTAACAATCCCTTCCCACTGGGCCTGTCCTTTGCTTCGGTCGGGGAGGTCTTCGGGCAAGCTGTGAGGTGAGCCGTGCGTTTGTGTTGCAAGACATGCGCGCATAGTGAAAAGGCATGTGTGCTGAAAAGACATTCTGGCAAGGCATTTGTGTTCCTCATGATACAAGTCATACTGTAGCCGCTTGCACGCCTGTGCCTGCCCCTGCAACCGCCTCTTGCCCTGCTCCCACTCACCCCTGCACCCGTCACTAAACAGGGAGCTGGAGCAGGAGAGCGAAAAGTTCGGGTACCTGGGGGGCGACTACTATGTGGGGATGGACACAACGCGTGGCTCGCAGACATTGGCTGTCATGTACTGGCGCTCATACGACCACCTTGTCTCGTATGCCAACGACCAGAACCTCGTGCATGGCTCAGGTGTGAGCCTTGGGAATGGGCCGGCTAAGCTTATGAGATCCTGCCTGGGGCACGGGGAGGGTGTATGGCTGGAGCATGGCTGGTACGCGAGATTTGGATGTCATGTACTGGCGCTCGTACGATGACCTTGTTTCGTATGCCAATGACCAGAACCTCGTGCACGGGTCAGGTGTGTGCCTGGTGCATGGGAGGTAAGAGTGCATTGGCTGTCATGTACTGGCGCTCGCACGATGACCTGGTTTCTTATGCCAACGACCAGAACCTCGTGCACGGCTCAGGTGTGTGCCAGGGGCATCAACCGGTGTCAGGAACATGTCTGGGACCTGGGTGGCTCGCAGACAATCGCTGTCATGTACTAGCGCTCATACGATCAACTTGTCTTGTCCCTTATGCCAACGACAAGAACCTCGTGCACGGCTCAGGTATGAGCCTTGGGGGGGGTTATGGGCTGGTACGTGCCCTAGGCATGGGTGTGACTTATGCCAACGACCAGAACCGTGTGCAAGGGTAGGTATGTCGCGAGGCTTGGCTCAGGTATGTCGTTTGGAGGCTTGGGCTGGGTGCGCGTATAGAAGCTCGGTTGTGGGGATTTTGAGACAGGTTTGTCCAAGTATTTCTTCATATCCTTTCATCTGCCCGTTTTCTGATTCCACTCCCTCCTCCCCAATCTCCTTACTCACGTCTTCCCTGCATCTTAATACCTTGTCTAGACTGCCTAGGTACCCCTCTCCAATAATCTCCCCGTTTTCCCGTGTCCACCATACTGTCTCCCTCCTTACAAGCAGCATGGAAGCGAATGACTAGGTTGTTGAGGGACGGCCCTGACATCGGCGTGTGGCACGAATCATATGCAATCAAAGCTGGGCAGTACGAATCAATTTATGTCAACTGCCCGGCATTTGGGCTTGGGGCAGCAGGAAAACTTGTGCCGGCATTTGGTCCTTTGGCCACGTCTAGAGGGAGAATGAGAGAGGGAGGTGGGGTGAAGGGGAAGGAGGGGGAAGGAGCGGACGCAGCGAAGGTACCAGCAAACAGAAACGTGGGTGGTGGCAAATGTCCAATGGGATTTTGACCTTATTTCCCGCTTTTGTTGTACTTCTGCTGTTCAAAATGATATATATGCACTATTACATCAATGACTGAATCCCCTACTACGCGAAGCTAGTAACAGACAGAGAAATCTACCCCAAACAGCCCCCCCAGTGTCAGTCAGTTGTGTACGGTTTGTGTGCGGGGCCGTGTGCAGCAGCAGCTCGTGTTTAACGACATCTGCGTGTCCACCCCCGTAACCAGTATCGTCGGTTCGCCACATCTCCTCTCCACAGTACGCTTTCTCCTTTCGTCTTGCTTTCCCCCGTGCGTATGTATCTGCGTACGCCCTCTTCACTCACTTCTTGTACACGTGGGTTCCCTACGTGTCGGAGCTTCGGTGATTGTGGCCTGCAGTTCTCGCAGTCTCGCCTTGTTGCAGCGTGATCGCAGCACCCTGATGTACTCCAGCACCGCAGCAGCCTTAGTCTCCCCAGTCGTAACGAAAACAGGGTTAGTCCCCAACCCCCAGACCTTATTCCCCACCGTCCGATCGCCCCCTCCCCTCCTCCTCCTCAGATGAACTCCCTTCCCTCTCCTCTCCCGTTGCCATCTCCAGCCTTCGCGATTAATGATACCAGCTATTGAAGGATCCCGCCAAATTAGGCTTTTTATTCGTCGGACTGAGACCAGTTGACGCAGCACCAGCCACACCGTTCCCTCCTCCCGAGCCTCCTGAAACGTCATCCTGAAGCTTCTGCCACATTTCGTCTCCCACCACACAGTGGGTAGATTCAGTGAATGTAAACGTGTCAAACGGAACCCCCGCTGCTTGCCGGTTTTTCGTCACGCTGTTTAACGAATTTTTAATGTTGCTGGAAAAGTACTGTAGCTGGCTTATTTGCTGCGGGGTGCACTTCTTTAAGTGGGAACCGAGGCAGCGCACAAGCGGGTTGGCTTTCCCCTTCGCCTTTGGCGACATGGCGATCGCGACGGCCTTATAGTCCACCAGCGAGTTCACGACGAACATTGGCGATTTGACGAACTTGAGATTGTATTCGGGGAAGAAACACTTCCACGTGGAATCACTTGGTTGCATGGCTGAGAGGAGGGGGAGGTAAAGAGACGCCGAAAAAAGGCAACTGAGGGTTAAGTGATTTGGAGATAGGGGAATGGAGAGGACGGACTCGCTTCAAGGCGAGAAGAAAAGCGATAAGGAAAAGTCAGTAACATTGACAGTGAGAGTGTGAGGAAGGGGAGGAAAAATTGAACACTCACCACCATAACAGACAATCATCCATGCCATGGTGAATTTTCTGAACTCACCATCCTTGCAGTCGCCGTTGATCCCAATCCGGTCGATGTCATGCAGTGTTGCCAGCCGCTGCACCTTCTCCCGCAGCGACCGCTCGCCGTTCACATCCACCACGTCTGCCGGGCACAGCGAAATAAAGGGGAGATGCGAAAATCGAAAACAAAAGAAAAAACAAATTAACGGGGAGAGAAGGTAAGCAGCGCCACTATGGAGAGCTGGCACACAGAGCATTACCATTCCAACCCTTGTAAAACCGGAAATTTATGCCCCTGGGAAACGGTCCCCGATACAGCCAAGCCAACCCCAAAAACGGCCTACCTGGGAAGAAACCTCCATCCATAAAGCACTTGGTCTTGATGCCGTAATCCTCGAGCCACGTGGCGATCTGGTCGCACTTGATCGACACGGCCACCGCGCCCGCGCTGCAGCCCCCCACCAGCACCTCCTCCCCGTGGTTCAGATTTTGAGTGTCCAGCAGATCTGAGACCGGGGGAAACGGGGAGCGCGGAGGGCCGAAGGGGGAGAACCAAGTCAAGAGGGAAGGGTTTCAGCGGAAATTATTCTTTGGACCGAGATAGGTCAGCTCCCTGTGATTTAGGTTCTGATAGTCCAGCTTAAAAAAAAAACGTACCTTGAAGCACGCCGTTTAAGTTCCAGTGTCCCCTATAGTAGAGCGTCTTGCCGGTCTCCTCCGTCTTGTTCTTCTTGCCCGAACCGCCCGTGAAGGAGCTGCCGTCGCAGTACTTGACAAGCACCACATTCCAGTTGTAGAACTGGGGGTTAATCCCCGCGTCGGGGCTTGCGACTCCGCCGAAGTGCACGTTCTGCAGGGAGGGAAAGAAAGGGAGAAGCGGAGGGAGAAGCGGAGGGAGAAGCGGAACGGGAGCAAGGAAATGGGGAGAGGGACACGGGCTTCTCGGTCTGCGGTATTTTCTGCGACTCCTCAGTACCGAGTATGGCTGGAACTCGCATTGACATACGACATTGTTGATCCAAATGAACGGTGCAAGATTCCATACTCACGCTGACGGACGGCCAGTTGACGGAGCTCCCAAGGTCCGTCTTTGCGCGGTTGGCGCATTGCTTCGGATTGAAGCACCACCCACCGCCCTAGGGGTAGAAAACAGAAAGCGGGATTTGGAGAAAAAATTATTAGGGACGGATGCAGCTGGAAGAATGATATCCATGGAGTGCTTTTCCTATGAAGAATACGGCCGCAAAGGTTGAGGACCAGGAAAACTAAAGGGTTTAGAGCTTTGCGAAACCAGATTCACTGAATGCACTTGTTGCCTGAATCAGAGTTGTTGCACTTCGGTTCGCGCTCACCTCCATAAAAAGGATCCACTTGTTCGCGCCCGTGCCATAACCCTCGCGAAGATAGTAACCCGGCATGCTGCGAAAACACGGGTGAACAGATCAATGTTATTTCCGAGATGCTTTCGGATTGATTATACGAGAATGTTCAAAGAGGAAAGTACGTTTAAGGAACACTTTTCTACTCTCATCACCCATTCGGGCATCGAACTCACCTATGCTCCTTCAACAGCATGTGCAGCCACGCAATGCGGCAAAATGAACTTATGTGAATGAATAAAGAGCCGTTCGTTCTAGCAACATTCCTCCGCTCTTACCTCCCGTCCAGGCATCGACCTCGCGTCTGCTCCTTCGACAGCATGTGAAGCCGCGCGACGCGGCCGCCGGGATTAACGGACGACGCACTGGCACCTGGCTTGGGACTCGAGCCGCCGTTGCTGTTCCCATTCAAGTCGCCACGCGATTTGAAGTCTGCTAGTGCGGAGGCAAGCAGGTTGCGTGGGCGCGCGGGACTCACGGACGCGGAAGCGAGGGCTGCAGAGAGCGCGACAAGCGCGAGTACGAGGGTGAGGCTTATAAGCGAGGCCTGAAGGCCTTGTCCAATGCGATGGTGACTCCGTGCCATTTTCTCTGAGACGAACGCTATGATCTAGCTCCTGGCGGGATAAGTCATACAAGCTAGGCGTATTGCTGGTTGTTCGATCACGCTAGAGGGTCTAGTTGGAAAAGTATTAGGCTCGTACTGATAAAACTGCGGGCCAGAATCACTGAGGTCTGAATGAAAACAGAGATCCTTCAAGATGACCTATCTCTCCGCGTCTTACTTTTTCCAACGGATAGACAATGCGCTCTGGATCGCTACTTCGTAGCTCGGGTGGTCCAGATCCTTTAACAAGTTGCTCGCTGCTTTGCCACGATCAAACGACAAAGCCAAGAATCTCCAGACACTATTCAGCAAGGTGCCCTCAGCGCAGTCGATTTTCTGTAGGGTGTCGAATCGCATTCGCCACGCGCACGCCCAGGTAAGCCGTTAGGACTACACGATACACACATCTAGAGGAATGCTGAACCTGCACTAGAAGAGACTGCTCTTCACCTGGACCATGGCCAGGCCAAGGAGTGAATTCGTGGCATGTGTATGGTGTGGTGTGGAGGAGGGAGGTCGAAATTGGATTTTCAACATTCGACATTTTGGCTCTCGTTGATGTAAATTACGTGTCGCCCACGCGCGTCGCGTCTCAAAGGGAATGAGCGGGAGAGGTTGCGGAACCGCGAACCGCCAAGCATTTCATTTTGCTTGCTCGCTAGTCGTTTTGTTCCGTTCGGTGAATTATTAAGTACACTGTCTTACCGATGTCTATATAAAGTGAAACGTGGAAGCTTCAAAAACTTGATCCCTGTAAATGTGGACAAAGACTCTGGTACCCATACACAAGCCTTGTTGATGAAGACTGTGTGAGGCAGTCTCACCTGGTGTCCTGGGTCTATTGCAAGCATTTCGATGGCTTCATATCCTACACCATTTGATCGCCTGTAGCACAGTGCTTGGTTTGGAGCTGGAATACCGTAAATGGCTCAATTTAGGATGAAATAAGCAGCCACGAGGACACATCCCTAATCCTACATGCGGAATGAATTACCCGCATAACCTTTTGTTTCCTTGAGCTAGACTATACGTAGATGGCCATGCTCCTCAAAACATAGGGAGGTCATATGATGCAGATTACATGATGTGGCATGTTGCAATAATCATTGTACACCAGCTAGCTTGCTTAGCCGCTGGTATGCAAGCTCTTTGAGCCGTTTTCGGTCAAATGGGACGTATGCACAGATAGACTCATCCAGTCTGCATGCACAAGCAACAAGAGACAGACAGTGCACATTTTGATTGTGACACAACGACTGAATGTCACATACGAAGTGGTGTGTGACAGTGTTTGGCAAGAATGAGAGCCACAATGGTAAGGGGTACGAAAGGGGGTTTGAGAGGAAACGGAAGGCGGGGTACGGTAAGGCAGTGGCACTAACAAGGGCAAGGGATAGTGGTGGGGGGAAGAGACAGGGGCAGGGATAGGGGAAAAGGCAAGCGCAGGACGAGAGGTAAAAGGTGAACTTCTGCTGACGAAGTTACACGAAGGCCGTCAGGTGACGCAGCGACTCCATGTACAAGTACAGCTCCGAGATGCCATATGTGATGTTCTTCACTCCCTCGGGAGTCGGGGGCATATCTCACTTGAGCCGTTGCTTGAACCAAGCAAGCATATGTGTTGCCAAGGGACTTACACGAGGGCGGCGGTGAGGTCACACAGAGATTCCATCAACTGGTACAGCTCTGAGACGCTGCATGTGATGTTCTTCATATCCTTGGGGGCTCATCTCCTTGGGGTGCCGGTCAAACAGAGCAAGCATAATAACAGGTGGAGGTACAGCAAAGGAACTCACACAAGGGCGGTGAGGTCGGGCAGAGACTCCATGAACTGGTACAGCTCTGAGATGTCGTATGTGATGTTCTTCACTCCAGGGTTCATCTCCTTGAGCCGCCGCTCAAAGAGAGCACACAGCCCTGTGAGTCATGCATGGCGAGCAGAGGGACGAGCATGGATAAAGAAAAACAGAAACGACATTTTGTGCCATGTTTATTTCCGCATGGCACTCAATCCTCCGCTCTTGGAACCCTGAACTTGCGATAGGTATTGTCGTTTGGGGATCCTCAAGAGGGTTTCAGAGTTTGAGCAAGTTTAAGGTTTCGGGGTTGGGGCTTAAAGTACAGGTGAGGAGTGCGTTCTTTGGCTTAGAAAGTGTAAGGTTTCAGGGTTGGGGCTTGAAATACAGGTGAGGGGTGCGTTCTTTGGGTAAGAGTGGAAAAGACTAAATGCATGCATTCATATTCCCAAGTATGGAATAATACAGGAGACGAATGAGAGCGAGGGAAGGGAAATACCATCAATGGCTTCTGCTGTGGTGGGGTACTCGATATAAGTGCATGATGATTTCTGTGGCGCTGTTTGCAGCAGAAGAATGGTGTGTCCATCCTGATTGGTTACGGGAGAGGGGGAGGACGGTGGTACGATTTGGGCACAGCAATAGGGACAGGGAATGTCGGGCATGGAGAGAGAGAGAGAGAGAGAGAGAGAGAGAGAGAGAGAGAGAGAGAGAGAGAGAGAGAGAGAGAGAGAGAGAGAGAGAGAGAGAGAGAGAGAGGAAAAAAAAACAATAGTCTGTAAGAATGATTAAGCACGGAGTGTGTGAAGAAGGCTATGGAGAGGTCGCACAGATTAGTAGAAAGATAGTGAGAGCATTGGAAACGGTGCGCGTCCAGGAGGATTGGTTGGGTGAATGCAGGGGACAGCTGATAACGCGGGAGGGAACCCTAACCGAGATGGTGTGCTCCAATTAAAAGCGGTTGCTCTAGCAGATAGACGAGTACAAACAGCAAGGAAACCCTAACCGAGGGGCACTCGCTGTGACAGTCCAGTTACGCCATTTCAAATCACCAATTCGACATTCCAAATGTACAACAGTTACAGCTTCCTAAACAAGAAACAGACTGAGCGCAAGTTTCGTTACCATATTTGTCAGCAAAAAGTGAGTCACCGCCTGCTGCGATTAGCGCGTCCTAAGCCGCCTCAGAATTCCCCCCTTCGCCTCAATAACGAGCTGCTACGACCAGGCCAGGCAAATTTAACAATGAGCACAAGACTCCTACGAGAAATGTCCGTGTTCCCCGCCAGCACGCGATGCGCTTGACCGACTTCCACGACTCTGAAGAAGCCTGGCGTTACAGACAGCGTCTGTCGCCTAGTGGTCTCACAAGGAAACCTACACGGCTTAGCGTTTGATGCTAACTGGTCCCCGGATCAGCGCGTAGGAATAGGCTCGGAAAGGTGCGCGTACGAAGCGCTATGTGGTTACTTTAGGACATAACTCTCGGAATTGAGAACAGTATTGTGAGCTTACGGATGGTTCCGATAACAGAAGGCAGTGGTGGAAATTGGCATTTCGTAACTGCTTGCTATAAAAGGCTCGGTGTACAGAAGTATATGGTGGTTTTTACTGTTTCCAAGGTGCAGCTTTTCATTGCGGAGCAGCCTGAACCGAACCGTGTCGCGGATATGCGACCACAATGGTGTCAGTCAGGGTGCACAACAGCTGTTTCGTCAACCCATGGTAACTCTGATTTCGCTAGAATCACTCAGCACGCGAACAGCCTTCCTAGCCTCAGCACTTTCGCGTTGGCGCAATTTCAAAATGCGCGCGCCGCTTTGATATTTCCGTGTCGCGGCTCGCTCCAATGTGACAGTGCAGGCATTTCTCCTGCGCGGTTGGGACAATCGACAGCAAGGCAAGCACGTGACCCAAAGCACAAGAGTGAGCGAACGCGAGAACACCGAAATAATTTAGGTAACAGGGGAGAAGCAAATTTCACTTGGCTCACTAGCTTTACCCTGTTCAAAAGCAAATCCTTTCTCATCACAATCCTTTCTCATCACATCCGCCGCCCTTTGACACCATAGCTAGCATTTTACGCCGAGAAGAATAACGGCCTTCGTTCGTCTCTTCTTCGAGTGAATGAACGCGTGCCTACACATTTAGACATGGACCGATCGCCCCTCCTCCGAATGCGGCTTCACGCATTCCCCCCATTTATCTCCATCCTCCTCCTCCTGCTCGTCATCCTGGCCCCGTCGCACACTGTCGCAAGTAGCGAAGCGGCTACGCTAGAGATCGCAGACCTGAGCCCTTTCGAGTCGATAGACAGCGGCGTTGACGCTGAGTCTTTCGGACCGCACACTGATTTCTCTTCTTCCGGCGGCGTCGGCGGCCGTGACGCTGGAGTCGGCGTTTTACCTGGCGGCCCGCCGAGCATGCCTCGCGTGGCACAGCTGCGAGGGACGATTGACGGCGCTGCGACGCAGGCGAGCAGCGGCGTCGCCGCAGGCGACAACCTGCACGTCGCACGGCTGTATCTCCTGTCGAAGAAGAACTCTCGTGCAAGGTGCTTGGACGGTAGTCCTGCTGGGTACTACCTGCGACGCGGGTTCGGAAGCGGCGCCAACAACTGGATCATGATTCTCGAAGTAAGCGGTGCCGTATTCTCAAGTGTAGATTTAGGGCCGGAAAAAAACACTCTTATTGATGCAGTAGAGATGTTTTTCCGGAGTAGACAAAGCAATGCGACGATGCCTCTTTGGTTGTTCTTGCCATATTGTAGTTTTTGTAGCGCCGGTTGATGACACCCATTTCATTCTCGTGTCATCCGCGTTTCTTGTGCATTGCCAGGCTGGCGGGTGGTGTTTCAACGCCAAGTCTTGCGCGAATCGAGCCAAGGGACCCCTGGGGAGCTCTAAGAAATGGCCGGCGACCAGCGTACGTACTATTCCCATCCTCAGCACCTCTCACCGTCATCGAGATGATTTTCAAGTCAGCTGCGAATCACCGCCAACCAGCAGACGTAGAACTCTCAACCTCCGCAACTGTCGTCGTGCCCGTATCAAGGGAGTTTTAGAGGCGATACGGTGGAGTCAGAGCTGGCTAGCGTACGTTATTCCGGGGCTCAGCACCTCGCATTGCGCTGGCTTAAGGCAGCTTTCGAGAAAATGCATGAGACACCCTTACCGTACGGCGGGGTGAGCGGCGCCGACAGCGACGTGAGCCAGCAGCGGCACGACAGAGAGGGAGGCGAAATGTAGAGAGGGTGTTTTTGGGATGTCCCAAAAACATCCTCTCTACAGAGAGGGGGCCGAAAAGCGCCAGAATTGTCATTCTCATTGCATCAGCTCCTTCACCGGCGGCTACGGCAAGCTGCGCTGCTCCTTCTCACCACATCCAACACCTCCCAACAAACCCTCTTTCCCGTCCCTTCGGTCCTTTTCCCCACTCCTTTCCGCCCTCCCCGCCTCTCCTCTCCCCGGCCCCCCGTCTCTCCCTGTCCCCGCAACAGGACGTGAAGTACGGCGGCGTGGGCAGCACGGACAGCGCCGTGAATCCCGCGTTCTACAACTGGAACCTGGTGCTCGTCAAGTACTGCGATGGCAGCTCCTTCACTAGCGTCTACGGCAAGCTGCGCTGCTCCTTCTCACCGCACCCACACCTCCCAACAAACTCTCTTTCCTGTCTCCTCGGTCCTTTTCCCTCGCTCCATTCCCCTTTCCCCGCCACTCCTCTCCCCGCAACAGGACGTGAAGTACGGCGGCGTGGGCAGCACGGACAGCGCCGTGAATCCCGCGTTCTACAACTGGAACCTGGTGCTCGTCAAGTACTGCGACGGCAGCTCCTTCACCGGCGGCTACGGCAAGCTTCCGCCAAACGCGGAGACGGGGCGCGCGCTCTACTTCCGCGGGCACTGGAACCTGCAGGGCACGCTGCAAGGTGTGTGGTGAATCATTTTCTGGATTCTCGGGAAACGTCACAACGAAACACGGTGTATATAGCAAGTTCTTGCCCACTTTTTAGAATAAAATTCAGCGAAGCACACAGTATGAGAGAGGGCAATGTAAATAAAACTAAGTTCACTTAGCTCGCGTTTTTCCGACGAAGCCCGCTTCCTTTACCAACCTCCCCTCCCCCTCTCAACCCCTCCGCCTCTCATCCCCAACCCTGCAGATCTGCTAGCTCGGCACGGGCTGAATGTGGGCAAGCAGATGCTGGTGGGCGGCTGCAGTGCAGGCGGCGTCGCAACGTCAATCAAATGCGATCAAATCTCGAGGTGGCTGGCCAATTATAACGTCACCACCAAGTGCTTCATGGATGGAGGCTACTTCCCAGGTAGGCCAGAGTAGGCCAGAGTAGGCCAGAGTAGGTCAGAGTAGGCCTCACTTGTGATGGAGGGTGCTTTGCAGGCCTTCTTCACTTTGCGTAGGCTTCTCTTGGGGTAGGTTTCCACGTGAGCATTGATAGAATGCGATCAGATCTCGAGGTGGATGGCCAACTACAACGTCACCACCAAATGCTTCATGGACGGAGGCTACTTCCCAGGTAGGCCTCACCTGCCTGCATCACCTGGGGCAGGCTTCATCCGGGGTAGGCCTTGCTGGGGAGACAATTCGAACGGGCATTCGTTCTAGAGGTGGGTGGCCAACTACAACGTCACCACCAAATGCTTCATCGACGGAGGCTACTTCCCAGGTACGTCTCTCTGGAATGGCCTCATCTATTGTAGGTTTAACTAGAGTATGTCACTGCTGCTGCTGCTGCTGCTGCTGCTGCTGCTGCTGCTGCTGCTGCTGGTGCTGCTGCTCTCCATCAGTCAATACCACTCCCTCCCCTGCCTGATTCCTAATGTGGCGGATAAGGGCCAGCACTGCAGCGTGAGGCAGAAGGTGTAGCTGATGCCACATCCGTCCCTTCCCTCCCCCCTCCCTTAAGCTGATGCTAAACCAAGGCGGATCAGGACAAGCAGTGGAGCATGAGGCACAATGAGCCTTTTGTAGCCGAATCACATTCCCCACCTCCCCCTTAGCTACCATGATCTCCCCTGCCTGATCCCTCCCTTCAGATGTGGCGGATAAGGACGGGCAGTACAGCATGAGGCAGAAGGTGCAGCAGATGGCAGGCGTGCATGACATGGGGCGTATTGGGGTCAACGCCGAGTGCAAGCGAGGTGAGTCGCCACTGTCCAATGAGCAACGAGCAATGAGCACTGAGCATTGAACAATGGGCGAAAGGAACTCTCTCACTCAAGTGATGCAAGCACAGCCTTCTCGTTAGCTGGAGTAGTCCCCAGCGGATTGATGTTCAATGCAGATGCAATGAAATTGACTCTTTCCGGCTTGCACAGTACCTTTGCAAGGACCTCCTCCACTTGCTCTATCTAACATCTTGCTTTGCGTTTCATCCCTGTCTTTCTGTTTCCTCTCTCCTTGCTCTTTTTCCCCCTGGTCCCCATCCTCACTCTATATGCAGCCATGAAGAAGACCAACGACACATGGAAGTGTTTCTTCCCGGAGTACAACCTGCAATTCTCACGCTCTCCAATGCTCATTGTCAACTCCTTGTCCGATTACAAAGCCATCAGTCTGACCCTCGCACCCAGGCCCAAGGGTACCACGGACCCCCTGCTTCGTTGCCTCCGTTCCAGCTACCAAAGCTGCTCACCAGGCCAGGTGAAGCTGCTGCAGTCCTTTTCTGCAAAAGTTAGCTCCTCGATACAAAGGATTGTGCAAACGAAGAGTGCTGAGAATGATGGGTTCCAGGCGTTTACATTTTCACAATCCGCACATTGTGTGGTGGGAGAGGAAATGTGGCAAAAGGTACAGTCAACTGCCAAGGCCTTTTCTTCTGTTCCATCACCCTCCTCATCTCCTGTGGCAACAAGTGGTGGTGCACCTTTAGCCACATCCTTTGTCAACTGGTTCCGTCGCTGATCAGATTAGGACGGGATTTGATGTGCCAGGGCTAGTGGAGCACAATTTGTGCTTTCATGATTTTCATATGCATAGGATGTATCAGGCATAAGCCGAGATTTGAAACCAATCTCAAATCTAGCAGACCTATCAAATGTACAACCCTCAAGCGCGTATACAATTTGTGCGGCACACCACCCACGCTGCCAAAATTGCTTCTCCAGCAGCAATATGGTTGCGACATGCAGTCTGCCCGCAAGGCGAGACGCGAGAGGCTGCATGAGCGCAGTGGTCCCCACGCAAGCCGCAATTCTCGAATGGGGAGCTACTTTGCCACAGTCGTCGAATGGCGAGCCATTTCGTAGCCCTCGTTGATTCTCGCCCTGCCCAACTGCAAGTTCGGGCAACACACGCGAAGTGCACAGATTGGCTATTGCCCCTCTCACGTGTTGCCTTGATGGGTTCTCCATCACATCCACCTGCTTTGCATCCAGACCAGAACGGTTTACCGTGGTTTCAGGGAATTTGGCTGGGTGGGAAGGCAAAGAAGGCAGAGAAAAAGGCGAATGGCTTGTCCTTCGTGAGGCCATAGCGCCAGCCACGCCGAATTCAGTTTGGTCGGAGGTCCGTCTAGGAATTTCATTGGCGGGCGGTGCTTGTGGCTCATGAGAGCCATGTCCGATGCCTGGCTGGCCTGGAGCGAGTCGGAGCTCACGTGCCGCTCCAGCGCCGGAATGGACAGACTTGCCAGAGACACCAAAGATGGGAGTGTTTTCAGATTCTCGCCTTGCTGACCCGAGCTATTCCATACGTCAGTCTTGATGTGCTCCGACGAATTCGGGCTCTTAGCTTAGAGAAACTATTTCTCCTCTAGCTGACCCGAGCTATTCCATACGTCAGTCTTGATGTGCTCCGACGAATTCGGGCTCTTAGCTTAGAGAAACTATTTCTCGTCCGCGAGTGAACAAAAGTGGTTGAGCCGACGTCTAGAACACTAAGCTGGTGCATCCATCTAGGTTGTTGCCAGTAAAGCCCGTGCTCGCGTGTCTTCGTCTTTGAAGCCATGGCCGCGCTTTTGCGCACCACTGCTCACCAGGGCTTGGCAAGTCTGTCGTTGAGGAAACTTTCGATAGTACAAAACAGTAAACGACTTGGTTTTTTCGGAGACAGGTATCCGAAGTGCTCGCAAAGCGGCGGCAGAGGGCATGTTCGACGTAATTTCACTTCTCTAAAAGTCAACTCCGTTCTCGAGGTAATAGATTAGGCTAATGCTATCAATTGCATGGAAATCACGCGTTATGGTTAGTCGATTTCTCATCGCTAGTGTCGCCGGCTGCAGGTCCCGAGTAGTCTTGAAGGTTCCTTCCCACCCGTTGTGTTCCCGACACCTGATGAGAGCGAGTCAACCACGAGGAGGTGGAAGGTCCTTCCTGACATCTGGCCAACTCTCGCGGAGCAGTATGGCGACAAGATTGCTCTTTTCGATCCGCATCACGGACAAAAACGAGGCTTGACGTTTTCAGAGCTCGAGAGTGCAATTTATGATTTCGGTGAAGGTCTGCGCGTCTATGGGCTGAAGCAAGGAGAGTGCGCCTCGCTGTTTGCTGAGAACTCGCACCGATGGCTTATCGCCGATCAAGGCAAGCCAATTTTTATGGGATGATGCCTGTTTTGGTCTGGAGTGCCGTATAAGTACTTTGAAGGTCGAGCGTATTCTGATCATGAGTTTGGAGGGTGCGAGCAGGCGTGATGGACATTGGTGCTCGTGATGCTGTTCGAGGAGCGAAGTCCTCAGGAGCGGAATTATTTCACATTTTGGAAAACTCAGACAGGTTCGTCATGACTTTTGGGGTTCGTTTCATCTCAGTAAGGTTCCCGCATTTCAGTATGAATGACCGCGTTTTTTGTAAATGCTTTCTTTCAGTACCGCTGTCATCGTGGACAACGTCCAGGTTCTTGAGCACATTGCGCCGTTTCTCGAAGCTTCTTCGGTGAAAGACACTGTCAAGTTTGCAGTTGTCCTTTGGCCTCCAGCCGGTAAAGGCCAGGAACGAAGTACTGACTGGAAGACCAGCAGCACGTGCTCCAAATGGTTTTCTCTGTACTCGTTTGAAGAAGTTTCGGCGGCTGGGAGTGCAAGCAGGCTCACTCATGATGCTCTGTCGCGCTCAGCGCCTCGTCAAGCGTCCAGACCTGATAACGTGGCAACATTGGTGTACACTTCTGGGACGACCGGGAATCCCAAGGGCGTGATGCTCACGCACAGCAACCTGATGCATCAGGTCAAGCTCCCCTCTCCCCCCCAGTTCCTGCAGTTCCATCCTGCTCTGCCTCCAGCTATCTCGGGCTACCTCTCTCGGGGCCCCCATTTCGTCTTCCCGTTCTTCCTCCTCCACTATCCATGACTATTCGCCATATTCGCCAGTATCGTCCCATCTTGTTCGTGCTTGCATGCATTCGCACGTCCCTTTCCGTCATCTCATGTTGCGCAGGTCAAAAACTTTGAATGTGCCCTAACGCCTGACGCTGGTGATGTCATGTTGAGCCTGCTACCCCCATGGCACATGTACGAGCGCTCATGCGAGTACTTTCTACTGAGCCGTGGGGTCCAAATCATCTACAGCAATGTCAAGTCATTCAAGGTTTGCCCAGTGCATGATCGCATTTCAATCAAGTCATCCCAGTGTGTTTGGGCATCTGAATCAACTTGTTCAAATTGCATTGCAGGAGGACTTGATCAAACACCCTCCGGACTACTTTGTGGCTGTTCCACTTGTCTTTGAGGTTCTATACAGGTAATGCAGCCACAGTAAGTTATATGTTGAATCATCATCATCCAGCTACATTGAATTCTTTCCACTTGTGAGATTCCCAAAACGCATTTTCTGTTTTGGGATGGGCTTGCAGTGGAGTCCAGAAGAAGCTTGCTGCAGCATCAACCGCCAGGGCAGCAGTTGCCAAGTTCTTGATAAAAGTCAGCTCCCTTCACAAGGAAGCTCTGCGCATCTGGACAGGAATGGCTGTGCTCCGCTCACGTGAAAACGTTCAGGGGCTCATGTTTATGAAGGCTGTGGCAGAATGTTTGGGAGCTGGACTTTTAGCGCTGGTGCTGCTGCCTCTTCACCTGCTGGCGGAGAAGCTTGTGTACACCAAGGTCAAAGCTGCTATCGGCATAAAAAAGGTATGGTATGGCATTTTAGATGACCTAGCAAGGCTTACACTGTTTTCAGACGTTCATGTTGATAGACGCTGTTTACATTGTTGCCTCGAATTCTGCCCTTTGTATGTGCACACAGGCAGCTGTGAGTGGTGGAGGCAGCTTGCCGTCGCACGTGGACAAATTCTTTGAGGTATGGAATGCCTGAGTTTTGTGAACTGACTAGGTCATTCTGAAAATAATTTGTTAGCTCCTGAATTTTGTCACATTCTATCTGATGCCGCTTCTCTTTTGTTTTCAGCAAATTGGGATCACTCTGCTCAATGGATATGGGCTCACAGAGACCTCTCCTGTGCTGACAGTCAGGCAAAGTTCCAACAATGTAGGCACGGTCGACCTGAAGTTTCTCAATTGTCACGTGCTTGCTACAGCAGACGATGGGACTTGATTTGGTTTTCTTTTCGGTCTTTGAAACAGGCATTGGGAAGCATTGGGAGTCCCGTTCCTGGAACAGAGATAAAGATTGTAGACCTGGAGACGGGAGCTGGTCTCCCTGCAGGCCAACGCGGGTTGGTCAAGGCACGTGGCCCTCAAGTGATGAAGGGCTACTACAAGGCGAGTTCAAATTTGTGTTTAGATGCCAGGATTCTTGCACCTTTTCAGTGTAATCAAACTTATGTGCATGGGCTTGTTGGTGTTCAACAGAACCCGGTGGCCACAACAATGGCAATTGACAAGGATGGTTGGTTCTCGACGGGCGACCTTGGATGGATCTCTCCTTTGACTCCAGTTGGCGCTGCTCGAAACTCGGGAGGGCTTCTGGTCCTTGACGGCCGAGCCAAGGATACCATTGTTCTTGCCAGTGGTGCGTGTGACTGGACAGCTGACAAGCACACACGTACTCGCAACTTTGACCTGATGTGTGTGGCTGGATTTTTTTTTCAATGTGTACATTCTTGTCCTTTTTTCGAACAGGTGAAAATGTGGAGCCTGCTTTTGTCGAGGAGGCTGCACTTAGCAGCCCTGTCATCCGCCAGATTATGCTCGTCGGCCAGGTACCGAGTGTGTGCAACGTGTGTAACAGGTTAGAAGCAAAGAATGTCAGTCTGTATGCATTGAATGCCATTTCTTTAACCAGCTATATCTGTATGTATATGTTGAGACTCTGTTACTTGCTTGTCTTATGTTTTCAGGACGAGAGAAAGCTTGGAGCGCTGATTGTTGTGAATGAGGAGGAGATGGAGGTTGCAGTGGCAAGCATGAGAGCGGAGAAGGGGATGGAGGGAGGCGAGGTGACAGAAAAGGAACAGAGGACTGTCGTTCGACAAGAGCTCACCCGCTGGTACGCTAGTCTAGTCAAACAAGACGTTTTGCAGTGTCAGCATTGCAGGTTGTATTCGAAACAAACTGTCACACATTTTTAGTCTGGTCACTAACTTTTGAATACTCTGATTGGTCCTCCCTCCCTCCCCCCCCCCCCCTTATTTCTCCTTCTTTCAGTTTAACAGAGGCAGGTTGTTTGCCGCATGAACGGATCGGTCCATTTGCACTCCTCGATGAACCATTCACAGTAAGCCTGCCTATTTACAAACCATGAAAATGTGGACTCGGGTGTGTGTACTCTTACTGACAAGCCGTGCTGGGTTGTTCTTTCAGGTGGATAATGGCCTCCTCACAGCAACAATGAAGATGCGGCGTGATGTGATTTACAGCAGCCACAAGGAGCTTTGTGATCAGCTTTTCCAGCACCAAGTCACCTAGGGTTCCGTGAAGCAGAAATAAAGCAGTTGATGGTTGACACGACGCGTATGATCAAATCGGTTTGTAGATGTGTTTAAAGCTTCTCTGTTTTCTTCCTAGACGGAGGAACATGTTTAGTGCCCTGGCTGCAGCTAAATTTTATGCAGCAATGAAAAAGGCATAGTGCTGTGACTGCATGTAATTGTCCGTCTTCTCAGCATCATTTCTGATTCTAACTTCCCAGAACTAGACATCTAGCTTCTCTTTATTGTTACTGCACAATATTATCCATTTCACGTCTAGCACATTTCCTGGTGCCAGTCCAGTGCACTCCTGCAAAGCTCCTGTTGGAATTCCAGTACCTTCGGGATATCAGTGACTCCATAATACATAACTGCCTATTACCACCCAGTACATGAACCCCGCAGGTACCCTTATTGTTAGTAATAGCATTGCCAGGACTACCATCACAGCCTAGATAAGCTGTCGTTTGCGAAGGGAATCGACAACACTATCGTTCTTGGCGTCCGTGTCAAGAACCTGCAATTCCAGCCACCCAGCAACACGAGCAACAGGGCACAGCACAATGTGAAATTCTTAAAATGCACTCCAACATTGCATGCTCAAGACGTGCACACCATGTGTTAGCCTCTTGAACCAATCGGAGCAGCATCTAAAACAAAGCAATATGAGAATTAAGCAACAACAAAAGAATGGTCAGCAACACATTCATAAGGTGTCGGACAAACCTTATCAATGATGCCATATTCCACGGCAGCATCAGGTGTGAGGTATGTGCCATCAGCAACACATTCATATCACAGCGTGTCTCATGAGTCACATACCTTATCAATGATGCCATACTCCACGGCAGCATCAGTTGTGAGGTACATGGGACGCCTACGCATGGTCAGCACGTTCACAGTGCAATCACTACCAGAGTGGTCGCCCCCACCTTATCAATGATGCCATACTCCACGGCAGCATCAGGTGTGAGGTACAAGGGACGCCGGATGTCATTCTCGATCGTCTCCTCTGACTTGCCCGTGTGCCGCGAGTACAGCTTCACCTGCAGGGAGAAACAGGGGGATGCCAAACACACGGCAGCATCAGGTGTGAGGTACAAGGGACGCCGATGTCATTCTCGATCGTCTCCTCTGACTTGCCCGTGTGCCACGAGTACAGCTTCACCTGGAGGACAAACAGAGAGGTCAAACACAGTAATTGATGTCAAACACAGTAATTGATGTCAAGCACAGTAATTGATGTCAAACACAGTAATTGATGTCAAGCACAGTAATTGATGTCAAGCACAGTAATTGATGTCAAGCACAGTACTTGATGTCAAACACAATAATTGATGTCAAACACAGTAATTGATGTCAAACACAGTAATTGGTGTCAAACAAAGTAATTGATGTCAAACACAGTAATTGATGTCAAACACAGTAATTGATGTCAAACACAGTAATTGATGTCAAACACGGTAATTGATGTCAAACACGGTAATTGATGTCAAGCACAGTAGTTGGTGTCAATGTCACTGTATAACAATGTCTTCACCTTGCACGGCACATAATTGACTTCTGAACGTCAGTGGTTTGTCAATGTCACCGACTTCTTTCTCTAGTACCCATGCACTCACCGGCTCTGAATTCATGTTCCGCACTTCCTTGCGCATGGCGTGAATGCCATGTCAATGCCATGTCAATGCCATGTTGATGCCATGCCAATGCCATGTCAATGCCATGTCAATGCCATGCCAATGCCATGTCAATGCCATGTCAGTGGCCTGTATGAGTCAGTGACCCCTCTCTCATTGTCACAAATGTGGCCCACTCACTCACTTGTTCGGTCTTCACATTCCGCACTTCGCATGATGTCAATGTCAGTGGCCTGCCAATGTCGGTGCCCTGTAGACATCACTGGCTTGTCTTTCAACCACTTTCAACCCCTCACCAGTTCTGTCTTCACGTTCCGCACTTCCTTGCGCATGATGTCAATGTCGGTGGCCTGCCCGCGGAACCGAGAGATGGGTTGCTTGAGCATGATGGAAGAGGAGGGCAGTGCTGACCGGTTGCCCTTAGACCCTGCAGACAGCAGCAGCGCCGCCTCCCCCCACGCGTTGCCCACACACAGTGTGAAGATCGGAGGCTTCACGTAGCTGGGGCGTGGAAGAGGGGAGAGGTGGTGGAAAACTAAGGTTAAGGAAAGGGGGGGGAAGAGGGAATATATGGGGGGAGAGGACAGTAGAGAGAAAAGGAAGGGCGGTGATGGGAGGAGGGCACAGGAATGGATGGCAGGCAAGGAAGGGAGGGCAAGGCAGAAAGAGAAAGGAGAGGAGGAAGTAAGGGTAACGCTAGGAAGGCTAAGAAGGAAGACTGACCGCATGGTGTCATAGATGGCAAAGGAAAAGAGGGCAGGAAAGGGAGGAGCGCAGGCCACTGAAGAAAAAGACAGAGCGGATGCAGGGCTGAGGAGGGAAGACTGACCGCATGGTGTCATAGATGGCAAACGCCTCTGTCTCGTACCCCAGCTTCTCCCCGTCCTGAACGCATCGGAAGGGGGCAAAGGAAGAGGAAATTGGAGGAGAAAGTTTCAACCGGGAGGGAAATAGAGGGGAGGGGGGGAAGGTGGAAAGACATCCATCTCCAGTCGTCTTATAACGAGGATAACCAGTACAGTACCTTGGTGGTATCCATGGATTTGATAACGATGTAACTCGGCCTAGTACTGCAGGCAGAACAGTTCGGCCATGATGAGCTATAGTACTTTACCTAGGTGGTTCCCGTGGAGTTGATATACATGTAAATCGGCTTCTCAGGGCTGTCGTACTGCAACTCGGCCATGATGAGCTCGTCTTATAACGGGGATATAACACTACAGTACCTTAGTGGTTCCCGTCGAGTTGATGTACATATAAATCGGTTTCTCCGGGCTTTCGTACTGCAGATACAGCAGCTCCGCCATGATGAGCTCTAAGGACGGAGCTCCCTTGCAGGACTGACCTCTTATATAACGCGGATATTCTCTACAGTACAGTACCTTGGTAGTGCCGGTAGAATTGATATACATGTAGAATTGGTTTCTCAGGGCTGTCGAACTGCAGGTACAGTAACTCAGCCATGATGAGCTCCGTGGCGGAGGGCACGGCTTTTGAGGTGCCTCAAAAGTCGTTTTATAACGCGGATATCCGTTACAGTACCTTAGTTGTTCCAGTCGAGTTGATGTACATATAAATCGGCTTCTCAGGGCTGTCGTACTGCAGGTACAGCAGCTCCGCCATGATGAGCTCCGTGACGGACGGCACGAGCGACATGCCCAGGAACACAATGCGGTTCTTGAAGAGGTACGAGGGGAGATCCGGTGGCGGCTGCTGAGTTGCCTCGCCCTTTTGAAACGGGATGACCTGCGGGGAGGGAGGGGGGAAGGGGGAGCGGCGAGGCGCGGTATAAGAGAAAAGGGGTTGGTGGGGAGAGGATAGGGGCGAAGAGGAGAAGTGGGAGAAATGGGAGGAGCGGGGGGAAAGACGAGAAGGGGGGATGAAGGTGGGTGGGATGGGGCTGTAAGTGGCGGAGGGCACGAGTGTCATGACTAGGAATCCGAGTTCGAGACGGCTACTAAGGCGCCTCGAGAGTGATTCTGTAGTATCGCGTAATGCGGCCTACATTACACGTCGAGAGTGAAACATTAATCCTGGGGCGTTTATATACTCTCAGTCTCCAATACGACGCCTAAGAAATCCGGTTTCCGAAAAAACGACGGCCTGACAAGATTTTGACTCGAGTGATTCTTCGCTGTTACACACAACGCGCGGCCGCCACTGCTGCTGGAGGTGAAACGAGAGGCCCAGGCTGGAATGGCTCCAAATATCGCCAGGGCGCTCCAAGTAGCGTCAGGGGGCTCCAACAATCGACAAGAGCCGTCGTATTCGTGCTAATTTCGATAATTTTGAAAAGTAAAGGACGGCTACGATGATGCATTGCGGAAACACGACACGTCTGGCGCCAACCCGATGCGTCAATAACGCGGATATGCCAAGCAGCTGGAACAGCGAAACGCGCGAGGCAGCATCCAGTGAAGATGAGCTAAAGCGCCGGCAATGGCCGCGAACCTTGGGAATGCCGTGAGCCCCGAGAGTCAGTGAACCTAGGGATTTCTGAAAACCTTGAGAACGCCGCGAATCTCTGGAACCTCGATAGGGCTTGCGGCTGTCGTAACCCGTGTAGTTGTTTAGGCCTCGGGGAATAATGGACGCGGTGCTGTTTCGCGGCAAGCCTTCCTGTGGTGCCAGAGCTCTAACATTGCGAACACACTTTCGCAGAAGTCTGCTGAAACAAAGCGAGCAATTGTCGCGAAAGGTTATTCTGACTGTGTGTGCCCTGCGAAAGATTGCTATCACGAGGCTATTTATAACGCGATCAGCGTCTAGTGTATAACGGATCCGGTCGCGTGAACGCCGACATGCCAGCTTCAGTTTCCGTACGCGCGAGTCGGGCTTCCTTCTACTGTTTTGAAGTTTCCTCTAACCACAGCGTTACGCACCATTTCGACAACTCCTCGTCTTCCGCACGAATCCCCTCCCGCCACATGTCGCGATCGCAGCACTTCCGTCGCCGAATGGAGGCTCTGACCCATCAGCTGCTTCGCGCCCACGTGGGCGCGGCTCGCCACGTGAGCATCGAGCTTAACCCTCGACGTTGATTGCGGCAGGGCAACGGCTGCCACCGCGCCTTTCCGCGTGCGCGAATCGGCGCGCAGCGGCGTGGCGAGTGTGTGCGGCGCAACAGAGGAATGGCACACTAGGCGATCCATGCTCCACCACCACACCGCCGCCGGGTGACAGGACCACGCGGAAACGCGATAAGAAGAAGAGCGGACCACGCGATCTAGAGGCGCCTGATGGGAATAAGAGTCACGCACTCCCGTACTAACGACACGAATAACTAGTTTAGGGATAGTCTGGTCTAGGCGGCAAGAAAGAGAGGCGGGGCGGATTGGATCCTGGCCTGGGAAGCGGGGAAGGGTGTGCGCGGAGGGGAGAAAGGGGAACGCGGAGGCCGCGGGCGAGATATTGGTGCGCGGAGATAGACAATGACGCGCGGGATAAGTAGGGGGCCCATGGGGAGGGGAGGGGAGGATCACTTGCAGAGAAGCGGAGCCATTTCACATCTTCGGGAAAGCCACGGCACGGGTCCACGTGGCGCGCTAATATCGGTGCGAATTGCCTTAAAGCTGCTTCGCTATTATCCAGAAACTCGCAATTATAGAAGAAAATGACTTCGTAAGTAGCAGAAGCCCCAAACAAGAGCAATAGGGTGCACCAGATAGTGGGCCTGTTTGTAATGTGTACGTAAATATCATGTCTAAAGTGAATTCACCACAATAGAAAAGTAGTTTCTGCAGCACTTATGCTCCCCTTAAACATAAATAAATATGGTAGCATAAACAAATGAGGAATAGAGATGCAAAACAGTTTTTAAGAAAATAGTTACTGGTACTGGTGCCGTGATTGCCGCATCTGGTGCTGCTGATACCACTGGTTAGGCTGATCCAGCGTTCCAACCATGTCCCCCTCCTCTTCCTGCAGCCTCTCACACTCATCCTCATCCTCACTCAGAGGATCCCTCCCATCCGGTCCCACCATCAAAATATCCCATGTGTCAGCACTACCACCAATGTTACTGTACGTATCACCATTACTGTTACTGTTGTTGGTGATGCAGGCTTGCCCTGGAGCTGTGCTTCTTGCCTCCCCCTCGCCTGTTTGTGAGGGAATTTTCGTCCCTCCTTTGGCTGCTTTACCTTTGTTAAGAAGAGCCAGAGGCCGCTTGAGAAACCCCTGCTTTGTCCCTGTCTTCTTCTGCTTCTCACCAACCCTCTCCCTCTCCTCCTTGTCCTCTGAACCATTGCATGCATTGCCTCCCTCCTCTTCCACCTCTCGCTGCTGCTGCTGCTGCTGCTGCTGCTGGGAAGGAGGATCATACTGAAAGGATTGTTTCTCAGAGAGCTTCTCAGCTTTCGTGAATTTACCGGTTGCCATCTTTCCAAACAGAGACAGCACTGCCCCACTTTCCTTACGAGAGCCTTCTTCCCAGTCAAGAGACCCAATACGAGGAAACAACCCTTTCCTCCTTTCCTTCCCCTCCTTCCCCTGCCCTTCTCGCCCGTCCTCCTCCGGTTCCTCTGTGCATTCACTAGACTCAGTCGATCCCAACCGAGGATAACGCCCATTTTTCCCCTCCTTGCCCTCCTTTCGCTGCCCTTTTCTCCCCTCCCTCTGTTCCTCCCTCCCTTCCCCTCCCTCCCCTGAGCCCATTGACCCGGAGTTAGAACCATCCGATCCCGATCGAGGAAAGGACCCCTTCTTCCCCTCCTTTTTCTCCTTCCTCTGCTTTCCTTCCTTGTCCTTCTTCCCCTCCTTGCCCTCCTTCCTCTGCTTCCACTCCGTACCCTCCTTCCCCTCTTTGCCCTCCTTCCCCTCTTTGCCCTCCTTCCCCTGCCCTTTTCTCCCCTCCTCCCTTCCTCCCCCTCCCTCCTTTCCCAAGCCCATTGCCCCAGAGTTAGAACCAACCGATCCTGACCGGGGAAAGTTCCCCTTCTTGTCCCCCTTTCCGGGCTTATTGGCACTCTTAGGCTCGGACAGAAACGAGTCAATGATGAAGCTCAGCTCTTCTTTCACGAAGTCACCTTCTTTGAGATTCGGTCCGTTCGATCTGCCCTCCGTTCGGACAGGAATGCTGCTCGCACTGCGTCGGATGCAGCTGCTGCTGCTGGCGCTGCCACTGCTGCTGCTGCCACTGCTATTGCTGCCGCCACCGATGTTGCCCCCGCTGTTGTTGCTGCTGCCACTAGTTATGCCACTGCTGCCACTGCTGCCGCTGCTGCTGCTGCTGTTGCCACTGCTGCTGCCACTGCTGCTACTGCTGTTGCCGCTACTAATGCCAGCAGCATGCTTCAACCCCTTCGCAGTGACCATCTTCTTAAAGAGAGATGTTGCAGAGGACGAAACTTCAGTCCGCGAGTTTGGGTCGGCGGTCCTTGGCCGTATGCCCGGCTGGCTCTTTGACCTGCCATACAGGTCCTGCTTACGTTGAGCGAAAAAATCATGGTCAACACGGTCGACAGGGTCAACTGGGTCAACGCAAGCAGCTTGGTCATCAGGGTCAACAGGATCATCATGGTCAATGCGGTCGACAGAGTCAACATAACTATCTTGGTCAACGGAGTCAACAGGGTCAACACCACTGCCAGAGCTTGTCTCATGCTCCTTCCACCCTTCTTCATCAAGCCTCCCTCCATTGTACTTTCTCCCGAGCACTTGAACGCTCGCCATCCTTCCCCACACCATCCCCTTCCCCTGCCCCTTGCCCCGCACTTTCTCCGGCCCGTTCCCATTTAACCACTCTCCATCCAACCCATACTGCCTGCCACTCCCATCTATCCCCCCTCCCCTCCACCTATCCTGCACAGTAACAGATTTCCCAAACCCTCCCTTCCCTGCCCTCCTGCTGCACCCTTTCCCACTCTCCCCAGAGGCAGCTTTTCCCTTTCCCCCGCCCTCATCTTTCCCCAGGCCCCTGCTCCCATCTCCCACATCCCTCCCATTATCATCCTCCCCACCCCTCCCGAGGTCTGCCAGTGCCCCGGCAAGCACCCCCTTCCTCATAGCGCGCTCTTTCACAGTCAAGCTCTTTCCCATCCCCCCTTCTTGCCCTGCAGGGGACGCAGCCTTACTGGTCTGCACCGCGTCAGTCTTGGAAGCAGCCTTACCGGTCTGAACCACCTCAGAAGCACCAGCCTCCTTCTTCCTCTGCACTCGTGCCAAGCGGTTACCAGCATATCCCCCAGCAGATTCGTTAGTAGCTGCCCCTGGTGTGGTACAAGCTCGAACAGCGGGAGCAAGAGCCGCAGTGATGGAATCCTTGTCATTATCTGGAGCAGGATCAGGGAGCGCAGGATCACCAGGGAAGGTAGAGCTCTTCCCTGAGAGAAAACTTTCACCTGCCCGTTTGAGGCTGCCCGTCGGGTCAGCGTCGAGAAAATCGGCAATGTCGGGGGAAATGATGACCGAGGCGAGGGGGAGGGGGGTGCCTGTGTCCAGATGGAATGCGAGCAGAGAGGCGGAGGGGAGGCGAGCGAGACGGGACTTTGGCTGCGGTGGTGGCAGCAGTCGCCCCTGCACCTGCTCCTGCTGCTGTTCCTGCTCCTGCTGTTGCTGCTGCTGCCCCTGCTTCTGTTCCTTCTCAGTAACTGCCTCATCACCTCCCACTTCCCCCTCTCCTTCCTCCCCAGAACCTCTTTCACTCCCACACTCACGACTCTCCCACGTACTCTTGTTTCCATTCTCGCTGCTCCTCTCACTCCGGTCATTCTGGACACACTGGCCACTCCAGTCACTCTGAACACTCCCCGTTGCAGAGTCACTTCCCTTCTCACTCCCACAAATACTATCATCCGCATCTTCTCCCCCTCGCCTGACCTCCTCCCTCTCCTTTCCCTTTCCCCTCTCCTCTCGTCCCACACCCTTCCGTCTGCGCCCGTCCACCCCACCCCTCATCATCACTCCTACTGCATCCCACGCCTCTCTCACCTCCTCCTCACCCGCCCTCCATTTTCCTTTTACTCTCACCTCCTCCCCATCCGCCTTCCCCTTCCCACTCCCCCTCTCATTCCCCTTGTGCCCAGACCTGTCCTCCTGCCGCCCCCAGCCACCCAACATTCTCTCCTCTCCAGCACCCCCCCCTACGCTTTTACTCCGCCAGCCCTTACCTCGGATCTTCTCTTTGCTCTCCCCTCTGCTCTTGCCCTTGCTGCCCTCTCCCTCTTCCCGTCTGCTCTTATCCCCAGCGCCTTCTCCTTTTCTCCCCTGGCGTTCCTGCCGCTCCTGCCATTCCCGCTGTGCCAGAGTCTCCTTCTGCCCCTGCCGTCTCACAGGGGTTAACGGTCTGGCTTTCCAACCAGCACTCCCGCAATCATCCTCGCCCATTCCAGCCGACACACAAGGTTCCTCCCCAGCCGACACACAAAGTTCCTCCCCAGCCGACACACAAGGTTCCTCCCCAGCCGACACACAAGGTTCCTCCCCAGCCGACACACAAGGTTCCTCCCCTTGCCACTCCTCTGCACCCGAACCCCCCACAGGGGTTACCTGTCTAGCGTCTCTAGTGCCCCTTCCGGTGCCACTTCCTCTTGATCTCGTGTCACTCTCCTCTACACCCTCTTGGTCCCACTTTTGAGCTTCCCCGTCGTCCCACTCATTGTAACCCTCCTCCTCCTCGTTCTCCCCCTCTCCCCTGCTCTCCTGACGGCCGCCCATCTCCCTGTGCCCGAGAGCATGACCCACGGACCTGCTCCGAACGTGCCCTGGCTTCATATCCTGTGTTCGTGGGACGTGGCATTGTGTCAGGCCTTGTGCCATTGGAAGGCGGCCTGTCGTCAGGCCTTGTGCCATTGGAAGGCGACCTGTCGTCAGGCCTTGTGCACGTCCTGATTTCAGCCTACTTGCTGGCATCCTCGTCCCACCTAACACACCCTCCTCCCTCGCATCCCTATACCCCACATCCCTCTGTGAGATTCCCCTCTCGCCTCCACCCACCTTCAGACCAACGTAAAATTCACCAGAACGACCTGAGCCACCAGAACCACCGAAACCATTCAAACGAAGAGAATAGCCAGGAGAACCATAAACATCTCCACGCCTCCGTTCCTCTCGCCCTCGCCCAACCCATGCACCCTCCGTGGAAATTTCCTGTGCTGAGTCAGACTGCTCGAGGTCCAGCATGGCAGCTGCTGCTGCTGACATCATCTCCCTCTCCTCCTCTTTCACCTCTACTCCTCTCCAGCCCTCGTTCGTGACGTCATCCATAGCATCATCATTCCCGTATAGACCCGACCCATGTAAACACTCCCTTCGCCATGCGCGCTGTGTCTTTCCCTCCTCCACTTCCTCCTCCTCATCCTCGCATTCTGAAGAGAGTTTTTGCTGGGAGTCAAACGGTAAATGACAGCTGGGCGAACGGAAGTGGGAACGAGGGCGGGAGTGAGAGTGGGCGTGGGAGTGGGAGCGAGTGTATGCGTGGGAGGGGGAGGAAGAAGAGTCAACAGGGGAGTCTCGCAGGCGGGAGGGTGCAGCTGTGCGGCCACTCTCCCATGAGAACTCGCTGCTGAGAACGGCAGAGGGCAGGGCGGACATGGTGCGACGGGGGCGACCATGCAAAGGGACCCTCACTGCACGCTGGGACTGCCGCTGCTGCTGCTGCTGCCACTGCTGCTGCTGCTGCCGCTGCTGCTGCCGCTGCTGCTGCGGCTGCTGCTGCGGCTGCTGCTGAAGGTGGGGCATATGGTGGAGATGGGAGGGTTGCCCCTGACCAGCCAAAGCAGCAGGCGTGGGGTCATGGTCCCAGCGTCTCGTGTCCTCCCCCTCTTGGTACCGCTTTGTTCGATCCTTGGGCGTTTCCCCTTCCCACTCCGCGTCCCCTGCCGCCCACTCGCCCTTGTCCTCCACCCACTCTCCCCTGCCCTCGCCTTCGCTCTCGCCCTCATCCTCGTCTCGTCGCCCCTGCTCTCTGCTGATGAATGACTTCTCCTTTCTGTAACTATGCCCATAGTCGGCCTGCTGCTGCTGCAGCTGCTGCTGCTGCCGCTGCTGCTGCCGCTGCTGCTGCCGCTGCTGATTTTTCTGTGGCATGTTTTCACCTTGTGCAGCAGCGGACAAGGCAGATTGCGCAAGGCGGCTAGAGGGAACCGGCCAGCGCGGGGGCGAAGGAGAGGCAGAAGAGGGGGGAGCAAGGAAGGAGAGGGGCCCTGAGGCGGACCGAGTATGGCCAGTTCGGGACGTTCGGTACTGTTGTGATGTTACAGACGGTTGGGATGGCCGCTGCTCATTCGCTCGGTGATAAGGCTCAAAATGTTGTTGCCTTCGCTGCTGGTCTCTTTGCTTCTGCTGTTGCTCCCCCTCTTCTTCCTCCTCTTGCTGTTCCTCATCCTCCTCCTGCTGCTGCTGGGTCTGGCCCGACCACACCAACTGCTCCCTTCCTGCCTTGTTCCGGGCGTTTCTCACTGCTGCAACACCAAGATTATAAGCGCTGCCCTTCCCAGCAGCGCCGCTCTGATACTCATAGCCACCACCATCAACAGAGCCCTCTCCATCCGCGCTATAGCCACGAACAGGATAATTATAGCCTTGCTTCGCAACAGGAGCATTGAAGGGACGTGAAGGACTGTTGCCCGCCTGAATGACGTGGGGAGAGCTGCCGCGGGGAGCATGGTTCTCGCGGCTGGGGCTGCACACTCCGGCAGGATTTGAACCCGCGTCTGCAACAGCAAGTTTGGCGATTTCTGCGGCGGTCATGGAGACAGAGCGGTGGCGATGGCGAGCGAGAAGGGGCCTGCGGTAGGACTGCAAGGCGAGGGGTGGAACAAATGGGACAGAGGAAGCGTATCAGTGGGTGGGACCATGCTTCATGCGTTGCTGGAACGTTCGTTTCGTTTGTTTCTATTCTCGCTTGGTGCGAGTGAAGCTACTTTTTGCTACGGAGGTCAGTTTCTTCCGTTCGCGACAAAGGATCATGGGAGAAAGCGGAAGCAGGGACGAAGTGAGGAGGAAAATAAGACGCACCTCTCTCAAGCCGCCACCAGCAGCAGCAATACCGCCCATCCCCCCACCACTACTAGCAGCAGCTGAAGCAGCAGCAGCAGCAGCGGCGGCGGCGGCAGCAGACGCTTCATCCGCCACGGCAGCGAGAGCGGCAGATAACCCTCCCCGCGAATACGACCTCCCCCGGTCGAACCCTGCCTTGACTGCCAGGGGAGGCCCCTCCAACAGCATCTCGTCGAGCAGCATCGACCCGCCTCGCGACTTGCGCCGCTCCTTTCCCCGTGCAGCGGCGGCACCTGGTGACGGCGGCGCAGCGCCCGAAGTTGACGCTCTGGGCAACTCCAGCAACCCCGCGGAGACGGACGGACTTGGGAGAGTGGAGGACCTGGGCGTGACTGGCGGCTGCTCTGCCGCTGCTGTTGCCGCCACGGCCATCGCTCCTGAGGCCAATTCGTCCGTTACTAGTAAAGCGCCTCTCGACCTTCGCCTTTCTCTACGTTCTTTCGTGATTCCAGCTCCAACCGAGGGGTCCGCTGGAGTCCGCGTGCGAACGTTTTGAGAATCTCGCCGTGCTGGCGAACTGTTTGCTTCTGTGTAACCCTGCTTCTCCTCCGTGATTGGTTTCTGGGACGTGGTACGGCGTCTTTCGGCCATGATTTTGCCCGGCTTGTTTGCTACAGCTACTCCTGACAGGCCAGACGAGCCGTCGCCTACGTTTTCGAATTTACCTAATTTGACATGCCTGACACGCGAAACTTGCAGGTTCGCATCGTCAAGATTATTCTCCAGGAGGAAGATGTGCGGGGCTTCACAGGCGGCAGCCATTCATGTGCGTCACCAGTCGCATCCAGGGTACACACTCGAAGGGTAGCTTCGAACAAGAACCCGTTCACACACTCGCAATTGCTTGAGTGATTCTGTCATCGACTAAGAAAAACGCCGCTGCGTCTCGAAGCTACCATGTTCACAAGGTTCAGCAACCAAATGTGCTCGGAACGGAAGTGCGCATCGTTATGGCAGTAAAATGGTAAGGGAATAGCAGACACGGAGTCTTCGTAGACTGAAGAAGTGAAACCTCAACACGTCGCTGGCGATGCGACGTGGGAGTTCTTTCTTGACCTTGGAAGAGAATCTCAGACCCCCGAAGGACAATCTCGAAGGACCCCTTGCCTGAGATTCTCGAGGCTCTCGCTCGAGTCTCGCAGGACTCGATCGCGCTAGTGGGGTCACTCGCATCGCAGGCACCGACTTGGGCAGATTGCTGGTGCCAGCCAGGAAGGCAATCTCGAACAGAGCCTCCTTCCCACACCCCCCCCTCTCCTGCCCCAGTTTCGCTGGTGGATGCAGGATCTAGGGTAACCAGTCGCGGCCTCATGCCGCAACGCGTAGGGCCAACTCGAACAGTTCGTCATTATTTCGCCACACCTCGCTGTCAGCCTTCTGACCGGCCAGAAACAGAATGCCCCACTGACGCGAGCCGCAGTTGGCCAACTGCTGGCGTGGCCTCGTAACATGGCGCCACATGTGATGGGTGTCTGCACAGTGGAAGGCGCTGTTGCAGATTCGCAGCTAATGGGCAACTGGGATGAATTTATCGTTCTTGCACCAACCTTCTAAAGAAAAGCGTAGCCATGGGTGGTCATATAACCAGACACATTACACCTCAAACACACATAGATATCACAACCATGACAACCTCGAGACCGCCATGGCTGATCCCGAGGCCTTCACACGTGCCAATGTCTAGCAATTTCTTGTCATTTGTTGATACGGAGCCTAGATTCGTACTCCTTAAGACTAGGAACCGATGGTACACTTTTTGTGTTCACTACTCGAACATTGACCATTCGGTCTAATTGTCAGACACTCTCCAGGTTCAGTTTAACAATGAAGTATGCTGGATGCGCGAAGGTACCAGGGAGCCTGGAATGGCTATTATCAAGGTTACAATGCTCGTGGCGCGTCACATGGAGGCTTTCTGCTATTTATACAAGCATTAGTGGAGGGACAGACACAAGTCAAGGAAGGGGCTTCCAGTGCTCAGTTTCTTGCTGCTCTTTGTTGCTATGCTCTCCAGCAGCTATTCTCATCATCACGCTATGGCTCCTCCAAAGGGGACTCCTGCCTTGAACGCTCCAGGAGCTGGTCTTCACGACAAAAAGCCAACGGATGCTCGTCCTGAACTGGTCACCCCGAATACGCTTTTCAATGGTGTGACGGCTCCACGCGGGGATGACGTTATCAACACGCAGACAGCTCGTACGTCGGCATTACGCATTAATGACCTGCCACAGGGGAGCAACAGGTCTGGCAGCGATAAGGAGAATGGCAAGGCACCGGCTGACTCAAACGAGCTGGACAAAGGGAAGGCAAAAGTTCAGGATGCGTAAGAGGACTGTGGGTACCAAAGTGTCAATCCGGATGAATGTCAGGACCCGGCAGTGCTGAACGAGATCGCGGCGCAAGCAGGTGTCGCTATTATGTTGCTGGTCCCCTTCAACTGGAGTAAGGAGATCCCGCCCATCATTAGTACGATCTACTACTTGCTGAGGATGTAGGGGAAACACATGTCGGAGAACGCAGGGACGACGACGAGGTGTCAGCAGCTCATTGCGACCTTCCTCTCAAAGCAAAATTTCGGATGCATTGAAGTGGTGATTCTGCAAGAGTCTGACGCGAAGTTCATGCATAGCAGGGAGATTGAACATTACACAGCAAATGAGAAGAAGCTCACGCTCTGCTGGCTGCATCCGGAAAATCAGGAGTATTTGAGGGAACGCACGGCTCACCCGGTGGTGATTGAGATGCTGCTTAAAGGGGTCCTGGCGGTGATTTCACCGGCGAGGATCAAGAAGAACCTGGTGACTGCGGTGCTGCTGAAGCAAGGCCAATTGACTTTCATTGATGGATCGGGTTTCCACCGTGTGCTAGATCCGGTTTCAGGGTCAGACATGGACCAGATTAAGGGCCTGGTTTTCAGGCACCCGGGTGGTGACCTTTTTCACCCACAAGACCGCCGGCTGGCACTGGGAAAAAGGCAGTAAGAGGTGAAAGGCGATAGCTGAAGTTTTCTGGGAGTCTCCTTTCGCGGACCTTCCAGCGCCGTCCAATGGTTGGGAGGTCGAGCGGGAGCTACTCTGTTTCAACCGACGCATCATGTTCCGGGGGGAGAGTCCGTTCGGGAACCAGCATGGGGCGGTTGGAATCCGGACAACCAGGCTTGGCGACCTGCTCACTACCAGGGAAGACGAAAGCAAAGAAATTAAAGACGTCAAGGAGCTGAGGGCAGATTTTGGCAGTGTGGCATCGGTGAGATGGGCGATAAAAGCATACGAGGCGATCCCTGCCGAATGGAAAGCAATGCTGGCAGCACAGAAATCAGCGGGTGCAGTGGTGGCGGCAACGAAAGTGATACAAACGATTCTGGCACGCACGCAGGAGTTCCTCTACTGGACGGTGCGAGGGGTCAAGGACGTTGGTGTGGCGACAGACCATTTGGACTGCCCCGACGGCAAAAACCTGGTAGCACCGCAGAGGCCTTTCGCGGTCACCTTCTCTGTCCAAAGCATGGCGTCGGTGGCGGTCACAGGAGGCAGAGTGCTCGGCGCGATGGGCGAGCCGAGAGTCAAGCTGTGCCAAACTAATGAGGACTTCAGGCCAGCAACACCTAAGGTGATAAGGAGGGTGTTGGCGGGGCCGGTAACGGAGTCGAGGCGGAGGCATGAGTGGGAAGAAGAGTGGGGAAACAAGATCGATTGGAAGGTGGTGAGGGAGAGAAGAGACTCACAGGCAATCCCGTACAAAGCACGGGATGTGGTTTTGAAGATGCACAACAAGATTCTACAGGTGGGGGAGAGGCTGGTGTTTCTTGGTGCCAGGGGTTGCTGCCCGCACTGTGGAGAGCGAGAAACCCTAGTTCACAGCATGCTCACTTGCCCGGTCATCCAGCCAGTGATTGGCGCGCTGCTGAGGTCGCTGAGAATCATGAATCTGGCGGATCAGACGAGTTCGCTAGGTGACATGCTGTTTCAGGAGGGGGCTACGAAGTCCGGGTTTCCGGGGGCAACTTTGACAGCAGTGACGTGTCAAACATTATATATGTTGTTGTAGTTGTTTAGGCTACAGTGGGTTAGCCTATAGGGGGTACACATTCCTAGGTTTTGATACTTGTACTCATTTCACTCTTAGTTCATTCATTCTTGTTCAACTTGGTATAGAGCAGGTCCTTCCTAGGACCGATTTTCTTTTAGGGCCCACCACTACCTACCTACCTACCTACGCCCTAGGGCGCCTCGGCTTTCACGCCCCTAGAGGCCCCGTCGGCCCCGCGCTCGTCCTTACCGGCCCCGATCGGCCCCGCGCTCGTCCCTCACGGCCCCGATAGGCCCCGCGCTCGCCCTTAGAGGCCCACGTCGGCCCCGCGCTCGTCCCTTACGGCCTCGATCGGCCCCGCGCTCGTCCCTCACGGCCCCGATAGGCCCCGCGCTCGCCCTTAGCACCCACGTCGGCCCCGCGCTCGCCCTTAGCACCCACGTCGGCCCCGCGCTCGTCCCTCACGGCCCCACCCGCTCCCCGCGCTCGCCCTTAGCGGCCCCGAACGGCCCCACCCAGACCGAGCAGCCCGAACCGAGCCGACCCGAGCCGCCCAGCCCTAACGGAACGGAGCCGCCCGACCCGAGCCGCCAGCCCTAACCGACCCGAGCCGCCCGAACCGAGCCGCCCGAACCGAGCCGCGCCGCCCGAACCGAGCCGCCCGAACCGAGCCGCGCCGCCCGACCCGAGCCGCCCGACCCGAGCCGCGCCGCCCTACCTATACCGAGCCGCGCAGCCCTACCTGTACCGAGCCGCGCCGCCCTACCTACCCTACTGCTCCTACTGCTTTTCCTACTGCTGCTACCATGGCTAGCCCTCCTGTCCTAGCCTTCGATACTGAGGGCCGCCCAGTGAAGTTCGACACCTGGCTTGATGACCTACACCTCTTCCTACAGCTCACTGCCAAGGAAGACATCTCGCTGTACGATCATGCCTTAGGCCACGCTACTGCTCCTGCTGCTACTGCTGACAGCACTGCCCGCTCACAGTGGCAGACTCGTGACGTCCATACTCGCTTCGCTATTCGCAACTCTCTGCCGATAGATGAGCGCGAGCACTTTGGGCAGCACAAGACTGCACAGGCACTGTACACTACTGTCGTTGCCCGCTACTCCTCGCCGGCCTCTGCCGCTCTAGGCCGTCTCTCTCTTCCCTACCTGTTCCCCGACCTAGCTTCCTTCCACACTGTCGCTGATCTCATTACCCACCTCCGCACTAGTGAGGCTCGCTTCCGCGCCGCTATGCCTGATGAGTTCCTTGCCAAGAACCCACCCCCGCTCTGGCTCACTCTCTACCACCTAGTCACGCGCCTCCGTGACACTCTACGCTCAGTCAGGGACCAC